CTTGACATTCCAAAGGCTAAAACACAGAGATACAGAAACTCACCAATACCCTACCTGACTCGATTGTTGAACCAGCATGACTTTTAATCTTCAACTTATTTTTAATGCATTGTCAATGAGCGAATATTCTCTTACTGTCACTACCAATTCTTTGTATATATGACGCTCCTCTTTTATTGATTATTGTACTATATTTTAATCATGTACTGTATTGTACTATTGCACTACCTTTTAACCCTATATCGCCAACCATTATATTGTACTTTTATGTAATATTGATCTTAATTCAGTGTACTCCACTGCGACATCAATAAAGCCAATCTGAATCTGAATCTGAATCTGAATCCTTCCACGCCTGGCCGGCCTTATGGGGCGAGGGTCACCACAACGAGAGAACCGCGCTCTCGCGGCTGGTTGTAGGATGACCGGCCATTAAAACAACGCGGTAAAAAGTCTTCAAAACGCTGTATCAAAATTCCCACCCGCCCCGGAGCCTGCACAGGTTGGGGAACGTTCGGCTAAACAAGTGCCGGCTTTACGCACTGCGTGTTCAGATATCTCTCGGATAGTTCTGTCCTTGCTTCTGACACTTGTTTCTAAATGTCAACACATGTACAGCCACACACAGATAGACTTAGCTGGTAGAGTAACTTGGTAAATACCTTAGGTAAGTCCTTGCTTGGTAAATACCTTAAGTAAGTCCTTACCTTAGGTAAGTCCTTGTCAGATGAATCTTCTTCGAAGATGTCAGAATGGCTCTATGAAAAATTGGAGACGGGGAGCAAAATGTGTACTCTTCTGCACTGAGATTATGCAAGTGAGAAAGTGTACGTACCTCTGATTGGATGGTTCATTGGATGGTTTATAAGTTGACCTCAATATCCACTCACTGGATAAGGTCGAAACAATCATGCTAAGCTAAACAGAATAGGCTTACTAGCTGGTAGAATAACTGAAATAATTTGGTACATACCTTAGGTAACTAAAACGCCTTGGTGTCTGCACTGAAGATCTTTGTGAAATGTATTTATTATACGTCCGAACAGTCAGAATACGCAGTCCCTGTGTGGCACGCGGGTCTAACCACTCTACAATCCCACCAACAAGAAAGTTTATTGCAAATTTATACCCGAAGACTAATCGCAAGAAGAATAAGTAATGCTAATGCTACTTAAGATATACATTTGTAGTTATTGTATGGTTTGATTTCTTTTCCGTGTGCAGTGGAGTATGAAATGGCCGACATTTTGCTAGATATATGAATTGGGAGGTGTTAGTAGAAATGCAGTTTTTTTGTAGGATGAGAAGGTGAATAAAGCTAGGGAACATTTAGGTGACCATTTCAAATAACCTATCTTTTTCGGTGCTATAATGAGGGCAATGACAAATAAAGTGCATTCCATCCTGCACTGCTGTACAATATTTACATATTCTGTCGTTAACAGACAATTGCTTGTATCTACCCTTTTCTATTTGTAATGTATGTGCGCTAACTCTAAGCTTACATATGGCTAATCTAACATCGAAGTCTTTGATGTGAAGATAACATTCCATTGCGTATACAGGTTTCAGATGTCTATAAAACCTTAGCCTACCGACATCAACAGAGAGATTGTAAAGAAAGGTTTGGATATACATGTCAGAGAGTCTACTTCTAAGTAATGTACATACATGTATGTGTTGCTTATCGAGATCGACGTTGTCGTTATGCCAGATATATGAGAAACCACTGCGGTCAAATATTTCTTTCACATGGTGTAGCAGATTTTTCTGGAGACGGGAAGCAAAATATACTAGACTAGTATATTGTTTTGCACGTGGCTGGCTGGTAAGTTGACCTCAATATCCACTTACTGAATAAAGTCGTAACAACGCTGGATTGTTTCACAGAGACACATCAAAGAGCAAAGCGACACCCTCTCTCTAATCGTGGAGGAATTCTGTCGTGAACAGACAATTTACCTTCAGGCCTCTTACGCCAATGTAGTCAGAGACAAAAGGGTGGTAGCAAATCATGGAGGGGCAATTATGGATAAACAATGGACGCTGTCATCATTCGAAAGATACCTGGAGGGGGTAATTAACTTAACAAAACAAAAGACGCTCTATCATCATCGATATCGCAATCTTCCTTCTTACAAAAAGTGCAGTGAGGAAGAAAGGTGAAAGGAGTGGCAAGAATTCCAGGTTGGTTAGACAATACTCACTGCTTTTCCCAGGTTTGAATTGAAGAGTTGCATGACTTAGAGGGCTTGCCATCTTGAATGTTTATGCTAATAACTTTCAGCAGCAGAATAAAAATGACTTTTGAAAACTTATCCAACACAAAATATCGTCTCTTTAAATTGACCTCAATGTCCACGATCTGGAAAGGTTGTGACACCCATAAGGAGAAGGATCTTCTCATTCTTCAAAATATATCTGGGGGGGGGGGCTCTATTATTATCGCTATCCCAGTCTGCCATCTTTAAAAGTGCAGTCAGGAAGAAAGAAGTGGCAAAGATAGAGTAGGACAGACTTGTACATTGCCTTGAGAAACGTTCCCAAAAGCACGACTTTTTGGCATAGTCTGCTGATATATAATATTTGGCTGGGCCTGGAGTTAGTACTACTGTATTTATGTTGAAGTAAACACTGAACTTCTCTGGCTGACACTCCTCTGTCTAAAACTAAATTAAATCGGACTTGTAACCTTAAATTTACTCCCCGTCCGAACTAAACACGGCACGATCTGTGTGCCAAAATGACTGAGAAGGAAAAATGAAGGGGAAAAACACATATGGACTGAGGGATGCACATCAGACCGGTGGAGGCCAGCTCCGATACAACTTCCCGTCATCTTTTCTTCAATTTAAGACGACATGACGTCAAAGCGACGCCGTGTGCGTTATTATTCGATGTGACAGAGGCTACAATCTGAATCTGTGTGTGTGTGTGTGTATGTGTGTGTGTGCTTGCCTTTTCCTCATTGTCTTCGTCAGAAGGACTATGAAATTGTCTCGCCGGAGTGTGGGGAACTGCGGATTTTGCGATATAACTCTGGAAGGCATGATTCGACGTCCATGATTTTTGGCAGGCAGATTACCGCTGTTAAGGTCGAAGTCAAGTACAAGTTTTGGCTTCGTAGGGGGTCCGTGCGTCACGTTAGTGCACATTTTGTGTTTGTGGCTTGTTAGCAAGATAACTCAAGTATTTGTAAAATGTTGATTATAATTCTTGGTGTGGTGCTTACTATTGTCGGGACCAAGGTTAAGTTCGTTACTGAGCTTCGTGGGGGGTTTTGTTGTGACTACAGGGGGCATTTTGTTAATTTTTCTTGTGAGCAGGATAACTTTTGTATGTGTGGATGGAAGTTAATGAAATTTGATAGGCATATTACTGTCGTGGTCTCCAAGATTGAGTTCAAAGATGGGACTCGTGGAGGTCGTTATGTCCCCGTAATAGGACTTTTTGTGTTTAGAAATCCCCACCTACATCTGCTTGGAGACAGCCGACAGCTGGATATAGCGGGGAACCCCATAATGGGATGGGATCAAATGACGTTACATTGAGGGATTGTACTATAACTTCAGCAGGGGGAGGATAGGTTGGACATATGTCAGGTTATTTTCTACGGCCACACCAAGTAATTGCTATGGATGACGTCCACTGGAGACCTTAAATCTAATTACCTTAAATTTAAGGCAAGCGCGCAATAAAAACACGAAGGGCCGAAAAACGAGATGCCTAGATTTGGAATATACTAACTGTAGAAGTACAAATGTTAGGACACAAAGAACACAAGAAACAAGTCTTCTATTTGTCATAAAGACAAATTAACAAAACAGCAGTAGTCACCCTGTTCTGATTCTTTCCTTTATAACATCTTCTCTTATTATATTTTGCGGCGCTGTCGTGACACTTTCAACACAGTAAGAATTTCTTGAACGTTTTTTTTTCCAGTAACAGTCCAAACTCAAATAACGTAGGGGGGGGGGCTAACACGGGTGACGACGCATCTGTATAATCTGTGGCAAACCGTTTCAGGGTGTTCTGTACCATAAAAATAGTTCTTTTGTTCTTTAGACCAAATTGATTATTAAAAAGAGTGAAGAATACGCATGTTAATTTCTCTAGAACGATGTACCTCTGACGAAGACATGAGATCTCCGACCTCTAGTTATATATTGGTTACATTCAGGGTGTTTGTGTGTGTTGGAGGGTGGGGGTGCATGCCCTTGTCCTGCTGATAAAATTTTTTTGTCAATTCTTTGGCAAGTTTATCAACAGTGAGGTAGTTAAAACTTAGGTAACTCATAACCGTTGGCCTTCTTAAATTTTTGTGATACATTTATAAGTAAATGGCCGTCGCCCTGAGTTAACCACGAAGCTGGACTTGCTGGGCTGTCATTTCTTGAAATCTAGTCCTCGTCAAAGAGCATCGAGGCCGGGCCACTCGTGCTGCAAACCTGCCGATGTACTTGGCCCTTCTTGTCCGGGTGTTGATGACGTCATAGCTGTAGGGTCTGGATATCTCTGACGTCATGCCCTTTCGTTACCGGTACGTATAATGTAGTTTCGAGCTTGTTTCTTCCAGTCATCAGCCATGGTCAGTTCTAATTCTACCAACGTACTGGTAATTCTTCCGTTCATATAAAGCTAACTTTAACCCCTTTTATTTTTTTTAACGGGCAACAGAAGACGTGCAGTTATAGCATTGTCTTATGAGACACATAGCATCATATGAATGTGTAATATGAGCACTTGTCTGCGTAGTGTATCTTTAACTGCCCTCTGACATATTATTCAAATATGTTGTATTTCAGTAATCAATTTGATGTAAAAAGCCTGATTGGCCCACCGAGACTTTCAGCGATTGCTCACAACTAGTAATACCTTAAATCCTGCTGTAAAACGTTTTGAGGTGTCTACCCAAAGAATCTAATCGGCGTTGCGCCAAAAACAACTGGATATGATTTAGAATACCAGTTGCTTGAGTAACTGCTTTTTGGCGTATCGTATTACCTGGATGTCCAACCTTCATCGACGTAATCGGCGTTGATCAAGATATTTCACGCTCTGATCGTTTAGCTTTTGATGAGAGCGTTTCGGCAGTTCGAATATTGTACAGTTGTGTTTTCTACCGTTTCTGTTAGAACCGAAATAGCCATATAACAAAGTTCTTTATTCACAACCAAAGGAGTTCATTGTGAATAAAGGACTTGTTATACTGAGATTTACCATGCAATCATTCACGACCAAGCCATAGTTTGCCCCGTCTTACAGTTTGTGCTATAACTACATTTAGTGCAAGGTAAATTGTACAAACAATCACGGTTTTTCGACTTATGTTCGATCCCGGAGGTTCGGAAGATCGGAAGCCGCAATGTATTGTGGGATACACCTTCGACCTCCTCTGGCTTGATCCATACGAGCATGTGGCAGCAAAGCAATGTGCGAGTAAAAGCATGAACGAGACAAACTCCTTTGAACGACGACGGGTATAAATCCCCAAATATTCTTACTTTATTTCGAACTTTCTGTCTGGTGACATAATTCATATTATATTTGAGTCCATATGGCTTGTTTCAGTTCAATATCTGCTAATGTAAAGAAGGTGCAGGGTTCAAACGAATTCCCACGATCTAGTTCCCAAATTTCTCCCATTGCTCCTACCAGCGTCGTCCACTCCATGAAATAGTACCTTTCAGCACATCTTAAAGCATGCGTAAAGGTCCTGTTTCTTCACATAGAAAAATCAGTTTAACATTTACGGATACTTTAAGACATACTTAAAGATATAAATTTGTGAAGTGGTCCTGGTTATAGCACACCCCCAGCCGTCTTCCATCAGTTTCCGAGCGAATGTGGACAGGATAAAACAAAATCCCGAAACTTTCCGTCACATAACCCTGCACCTCCTTTAACCCTGCACCCCCCTAGATTAGTGTTACATGGTTTAGTCCACGTAAAAACGTCCAATTTAGATATTTTGGATATAAAGAGATATTCTGGGGAAATATTTGAGATTTATCCTTGTATCAAAGGGCCTAGATATCAATTTATTATGACATTTGTAAATCTTTTGGAGAAAGGGGCCTACATAACTTAAAACGACACAAAAGCTATCTAAATTCCCATTGGCCTCTGAATGTTGCCCACTCAATCATATTGTATACCTGGCCAATGAAACATTCCGTTGCGCAGTGTGTTCTTTCTATAGAAAGTCAGCGCAATCTGTATATATAGCTTTGGGTTCCGTTACAACAAAAAAGAAGCTGATATAAGCAAAGATTTGGTCTTTTTAGATTTTTTTTGGTTTTTATTTATTGTACAATGCAAATGTAACTCTTCATCACAGATTACGTAATAAACTTGTTTTTATTTGACAGCCCTAGTCTGAAACTCAAAGCTCCGGTATCAGTCTCAGATGGAACACGAGAGCCGGCCAGTTGAATCTAAGAATAGGGGTGTGTTTTTTTGGGTTTGTTTTTTTTTTTCAACGCAAACGGACATACAAAACAAAGGGTTAAAAATTTTGCGGTTAGGACAGTAGTTGAGACGTCTCACAGCAATATGGCCGCCAAAGTCGCACGCACAAATTTTAGATGGAAAAAATGACACAGCAACAACATACGGCCATGAGACGCCACCAACTTCACGACTAGGAGCGTACTCAACAGAATCGCCACGCGCTTGAAGTTAAAAGCACGTGGCATTCGTTAACATTACTATACGCACCCCACAAACAAACATACATACATGAAGCAACAACGACACGACGCTCAATGTCATTTTTACATGCGTCCATTTGACACGTGGACAAACACAAGTGAGTTCTAATACATGAAAACATTCGAAAGGTTGTTCAGTTGAAAAATGTTTTTGCAAGCATCTTCAAGTTGTTGTTCTTTGTCGAGTTCATGATGACTTTACAGAGTATATATGGCGATGTGTATCTCTTCCGGGACGATCTTGGCGAATACAGTAATCAAAACGCACATGAAGAAGTAAAGGAGACTAGTATTTAGAGAGAGGAGAGCGACTCGGTGCAGGGCGAGGTGGACAGCTAGGTAGCCAGGCGAGGAAATCAGTTCACATTCCACTTGGCTTAGCTGCAGAAAAATAGAAGGAAATACAGCACGTTATTAACACAATAAGTCACTCGCTCAAGCCTTAAAAACCTCCCATTTCATTGGAAAACCTCTCAGAGCCACGTAGGGGCAGTTTACTTGTTTAGAAATAAGCTACGGTCTCAGCAGGTCTCACTAGGTTTTGGTTACATACGATCAGTATATTAGTCGGCAAACTTGCAGAGATTTTTTGGGGTCGTGTTTTAATTGACTCGACAAGTTAGTGATGCAGTGTGGTTGTGCTGTAGTAACAACTTTTTGTCACAACTTTTTGAGAGGTCTTCTGCGTTGGAGGAGACTTGAGTGGATACATGCAGGCTAGCGGTGCAGAGTTCTACTCTACGCTACATTGGGGAAGTGTTCCTTGTGGGGATAAAAAGTGCTTTTAGTGGAAAATTCTACCGAGGGACAGGTTTTCCTCAATCTCCAAGCAGATCCTACGGTGGCAAGGTGGTTACCAATCGGCTAAGCAGGCTAATAATGGACACTGCTCGACCGATTGGAGACTGCCTTGCCACCGTAGGATCTGCTTGGAGATTAAGGTTTTTAGGAATAAGGACTTAAGAGGTAGTGCCACGGCTAATGACTCTGTGATTGGTTAGAAATGGGCCAATCACAAACCACCATACAATTTTGAAAGTCAGTCTTGGTCCCAATATCTTCATGTTTATTTTTTTGTTTTTGTTTTCATTTTTTCATTTCAATTTACAAATTGCTGTGGCACTTCATCTTTATTAAAAAAAGGGCTGGAGAATGAGAGGTGGTAAAAAAACTTTTCCCGTCTTGGGAATGATCAACCCGGTTTCAACAGACAATACCATACATGCCATACAAAACCTATTGTTGTACTGGAATCACGAAGCAGCAAAGCGTCAACTGTGAAAATAGAAAAACGATTGTCGACAAATATTCAAAGAAAAAAAACTATGTAAAGAACAGGTTCTGAAAAATTCTGAAAAAGTATACAACTACAATGTGTTTTTTTGCTTCCTATGGTGTTCCATACTATACAACGGTTTTACATTAAAGTAGTTTGTTATATGTTCTGTTCAAAGTATTGGATGGGGAGGGGGCACGCAGAGGAAAAGCTTACGTTGCAAAAAGAAACTAATTGTAAAGAAGTCAGTACTGTTCACAATAATCATTCACCTATTGTGATGTTACTCGTTTTATATGAAAAAATATTTAGCCATTTACCATTTACTTAGCCAATCCCTTCATTTGACGATTTTGTTCCAAGATGGCGTATTTTTCCCAGAATGCCTTGCTGGACAGCGTGTAGTTTCCGGATGTTGACACTTACCTTACTTCTTTCCGCCCCACTTGCCTCCGCTGACCTTGCCCCTGGACACGGCTCCTGGCTTGGAGCTGGAGAAACAAGATGTCCAAATAGGTCAAAACTTTTCTAGAGGACTGCATATATATATATTATAGTATATTCAGGATTTGATGAAGAAAATAAAAACGTTTGGGCAAACAAAATAATTGTGACGTGTATTTTGTACGTATTAATTCTGATGGTGCAAGTATTGGAGGTGCACTTACAACTTGCCCATGCTCTCGTTGACGGTTGTCCTGAGGCGTTCAACCTGTAAAAGAGGTACAATCGCGTTAGAACAATTCACTCAATCGCATAACGATAGCAACGTTATCTGCCTGCTTTTGAAACAAGAAAACTACGACATCTTCATACAGAATCTAGGAATCTAATCCATATTCATTTTGCTCTGTGCCACTAGAGCAGCAGAATGTGACTTTGATATGTAGATATGAGATAGCCATGAGAACCTTCAGTGACTTAGTACCATGTTTGTAACTGGAAATCAGCAGCAAGGACAGATGTAATCACCCTCCCAGCTATAGTTGGGAAATGGAGGCTTTGAAGGCAAAAATAGTTGTAAAAACAATGGAAAAGTACTATGCCTTCCGTGTAACCGGGCAATCAGCACCAAGGACAGATATAACCACTCTCATATTTGGGAAATGGCGGCTTTGAAGGTAAAAATGCAGTAATGAAAAAGCACTAAAATTGTACTCAGTATGTCAATCAGCACAAATGACAGACCTATATATAACGCCACCAACACATATTTGGAAAATAACACAAAAAATGACAATACAGTGTGACTCTGGTGTAACCGGCCAATCAGCACCAAGGACAGATCCGGAAATAACACTACCCAACCTATAATTGCATAATGACTGTTCTAAGCGTGCGAAAATCAATGAAAAACGTTACTTACGTCTTGGTTCTGCACCTTCACCTTGTCCTTGATGTCGTAGAGTGCCTCCTCTGAGTGCTGCAGCTTCTCGTACAGCTCGTCGGCGTAGGCTGCTGACACTTCATCGGCGCTGAACTTGCCGACACGCAGCTCGACGGTCTTGCGCTTCTTCTCGGCAGCCATGTCTCTCTTGCTTGGGCCCTTCTTCTCCAGCTACACAGGACCAAAGACCGAACACGAAATAAACATAGAATCACGTCTGACATTCAGTTCACATTCTCCTGACTACATCACTACAAGACTCCTGACTCCATCACCACAAGAAATCCAATCTTTAAGCGCTGTTTAAACCGTGGGTAAATGGACTTTGGAACGAAGAAAAGGAACCTAATAAGGCATGATTTAAGGTGTCCTTAAAGGAACAATTTAGGGCAGTGCATTGACGAGAAGTCTGAAGGATGGCGGCTGTGGCTTTTAGCGGAAGCTCATATTTTTGTTTCATTCAATAAACTGTCATTTTGCACCGTCATGTCAAGATTCTTGATTCTTTTTACGATAATGTAACTGTTATTATGAAGACTGTCTTTCTCTCCATTTTTTTTAAAATATTGTAACACTCAATGTTTATATACATATAACGGTATTATTCACTTATATAGATTTTTGGTTACAGAGACCATATTGTTTCAAATTGTTGCTAATTTCTTACAGCAACCACAGTATATACCTTACGTACACGTATTCAGGAGCCAATAATTATCTAACGGAAGAAATACAAATATTGCATTCAAAACAAGCGGACAAGAAAGCTAGAACACAGAAGGGAGCAGCGTTGGATTGTTAGTAAAAGACATAAACAAGTCAATGAGGAAGGCAACATATGCAAACAGACAAAATTATGAAAGCAGCACATGTAGACAAAGCGCTTGAAACAATATCAAAGAGCGCAGTGCCACTAAAAGCAGTACGAAAGATACTAATGCTGTAATTCTAAACTAAGCTGTACTAGAGCTAGACAAAGGCGCGGTTAGCGATGACCATATATATATACGAAGGAAAGCAGTGAGCGCGAAAGTACATAGGAAAGAAGTTGGGAGAGCTTGGAACTGGATCTATAGCAGTTTTTATAGAATTGGGCAACAGGAGAGTATTTGCTTTGTTACAGTGCGAACCAAATGTAACATTTTCTTTGCCACACGACATTAACTGTTTTGACTTTTCCTTCTTCATTTTCTTGACGTTTTGGTTTCTTTTATAGTTCTATATCTTTTTGTATCAAACTTCGAAAACAAGAACGACAGCTATGTTCCGCAAAATGAGACTTACATATGCATCATAGTGGCGACGAAAATCTAGTATAGCAATTAAAGCACACGACGTGATGACGTCACAGACCCTCGCAAAAGGGAAAATGACGTCATGGCAGAGAGGTGACGATGAAAATGGCGGCATCGTGGAACGCTGTTTGTGGGTGAACAAAAAAGTCGTAGGAAGAAGAAGAAGAAGACGGAAGGCGGTGACGGAAGCCGTGCAGGAAGGGAGAGCTAGGGTTGAGGAGCAGCACACACCGCACCACTCGTAAAGCGGGCACACTGGGTCTGTCCGGGTCATTTTGGCTACCAGAATTCCAACCATGACATCCTATCCCATTTTAGCTACCACAGCACGGAAAGTTGGACTTACCAATGGTAGTAAACGCCAGTAAATGTTTTCTTTGTAAACAGTACAAGGCTTTATAATGGTAGTATATAATAGGCAAGTCCGGTGATTTCGGACTTAACATGGGTACAGTAAATAAAATGCAGGACATTAATTTCATTTGATAGAACCAGTGTCAAGTCTGGTACTGCTTACAAACTAAACATTACCTTTTTCTGGCATTTACTACCATTGGTAAATCCAGTTTTTCGTTTAGTGTATACTATATCGTTATTTGTTTGTTTTTGAATGAATATTTTAAGAATTTCAATCACTGTTCAACTATTTTTGAAGGTCGAATAGGCAAGGTTATGTCATTGTTCTAGTACGCATGCGCCGTGACCCGGTCAGACGTGACGTGTGTGGGGGGAGGGGGGGTATGTTTGCCTACAGTTCTCAGGTAGCCGCCCATGTGCATGTTGACGTTGCCGAGTCTCTTCTTCCGTTCGTCCAATTCGCGCCTCCTCTTCTCCTCAGCTTCCTTCTGTTCACGCATGCGACGCTATCGGTGGCACAGGGGGAGAGAGACAAAAAGATACACGTCATATGTTATTCTTCTGGAAACGTAGACAACGTTAGCCCGAGCTTACAGTTCTGAGATAGCCGCCCAGGTGCTGGTTGACGTTGCCGAGCCTTTTCTTGCGCTGGTCGATCTGCTTCCTTCTCTCTTCCTCAGCCTCCCGCTGCTGTTTCATCTTTTGCTATAAATGTGACACAACAGAGGAGTTTTTTGACGCCGCTTCGCGTGCCACGGTGTCCTCCCAGGCCGAAAATTACTCTTTCTTCTCCCTCTTGGATAGCAAGTTTAGATGTAGCAAAATAGGCAGGAAAGTCTAGATAAATTCTAATACACCCGTTTTAGGCATGCAGAAGAATGAAAAGTTTTCTTTCTACCTGCACAAGGTAAAGTATCAAAATGAATGGAATGTTCTTGATCGCTTCAACACACCAGATTTTGACATGCAGGAGAATTACCATTTGACGACAAGCAGAGATATGTAGTATCCCCATCCAGTAAACTTTACTGGCGTTTTTTCCTCAAAATTAATCATATATGGAACACAATCGTTTGTGTTGCACTCACACATACTACGACAAAAAAGTCGAAACAACATTTTCCTCCTTTTCTGAAACTGAATATTTAATGCAGGTCAAAACGCGTATAACGTTCTGAACTATAAATTTCAAATGGCGTTCAAGTCAGCCTATACTTACTGTGAGATGTGATGACGGTACACCTCTGATTCGCCAGGAGGCGTGAGTAACCTTACCTTCTCAGCCTCGATACGCTCCTTCTCCTGTTGTTTCCTCAGTTCTTCCTTCTCTGCCATCTCCGCCTTACGTTGTTCCTGTGGGAAAACAAGAAGCACATCCAGTGGGTCATCAGTAGGATCTCCAAGACAACTGAATTTTGCACGCAGTAGACTGGGAATACATATTAAAGGGGTTTTGGGGTGGAAAAACGTTTTCGGATGGGTGAACCGTTCTCGGTCTAGCTTTAAAGAGGAAAGCACGGTATTTCATGGGTTTTCACGTTTCCGAAGCCAACTTCACCGTAGTTTTGGAATCCTTCAGCGGAAGTGTTAAGTTAATGGTCGACGTTTGCATGTTCGCAGCTGTATCTCACGGTGGGGTGGTCGGATTTATAATTTTCTGGGGCTCGGCATACATTTTGTTATTGGGCTTCAGATGCTGCACGTCTCTTTTTTTTTACAAATTGTATATGTGTTTTCGGGTCTAGAGAGAAAGGGTTTCGCGACACGGCATGGACCGTATGCTAATGATATGCTAATAAGCCCGAGTTACTCACCCTCATCTGGCGCATCTCCTCCAGCTCAGCGTCTTCCTTTTGCCGTTTCTCGAACCATTTCTCTATGAGGGATTCTAACTCGAGCTGATCTTTGTCTTTGCGCTTGGCGGCGATGGCACCAAGGTCGACCTTCTCTCCCGTGGGGATCTTGGGAGCTGCCACGGGCGGCGGCTTGGGCTTGGGGGCCTCAGGCTCGGGCTCGGGAGCGGCCTCGACTTCCTCCTCCTCGTAAGCCACCTCCTCTTCGTATTCGTCCGCCATCTCTTCGGCAGGTGCCTCTGTAATATGAACCCAGGGGTTAGAAGTTGCTAGGATTATTATGAACAGACATGTAGATAGAGAAAAAAACACACCATTTCCCCTGAGATGATCACCAGAACTGAAAAACAGGAAAAGTTTGAATTGATTTATTGGACCAAAAAACAATTGTTCCGCGCCTTGCTGATCTTAAGCCTGGTACAGGGTGTACGGTATCAGGGGAGGGGGGTCGGGGTAAGGGGACATTACCATGATTTTGGGGAGGGGGGCATATTTTACCATGATAACGTATGTGAGGGGAACGTGAAGATGAAAGTAGTAGGTGCGGTACATTGTGACTCAGGTTGTGGAGGAGGTGACTGAGGAAGAGCTTAACAGCCCTCTACCCTCTAACAGGCTCTTATCAACGGTAAAACCGTCTTTGTTAACATAAAAATGATTCCATTTTTGTCAACAAAACGTATTGTTGAAGTACTCGGGCGCTCGGAATCCTGAAGATCCAGTGTAGATAGAAAAGATCGAGTGTAGAAAAAAAGATGAACTCCCGTAGTGAAGAAGACGAAAAAAAGTGACAGTGGATCACCCAAGAAAGAGGAGTGGACAGTGATGCAAAGCACAGCAAGCACTACCGTCAGGCATTACATAACAGGCATATGTACAACACTACCAACAATGTCATCAAACATGAAGTCATACCCAAGTCATATACATGGCTGCCTCTGCAAATGTGGCATCAGACCATGTATAAAAATAGAATTGGTTGCAAATTCTTTTTTTTTACCGTATGACATTATTAGCAGTGCGGTACTTACATGTATATACAGAGTTGTAGAGGTGTCACGTGAGGTAAGCGGCTTCCTTGCAATATGCACGTACAACTGCACTAAAGGTTGGACTTACCAATGGTAGCAAATGCAAGTAAAGTCGGGCATTGTTTGTAAACAGTGACGGTCTTAACAATGGTAGTAAATAAAAGTCATTCCGTAATTTCATTTACTGCGGTAACCATTGTTTAATCAAAATTAGCGGGCGTAACGTTTTTTTACTACCGTTGTAAAATCCGGTACCGTTGCCAAAGTAAACATTAACCCGACTTTGCCAGCAGTTACTACCACCATCGGTAAATCCAACTTTTCGTACAGTGTGAATCTCACTGGAAGGCACACCGCTTCAAAGTGGACCGTTCCCCCCTTTGACACACCACACAACTTTGCTACTCAGTCAATCGTCATGCTTTTTTCTAAACCGTCAAGTCAACAGCCACTGTTCTTTGCTCTGATTCTCAAAATGTGGTTTGGGCTAACTTTTTGTACGATCCAAAAAATTTGTGTACGTTGCAAATATGTAATTTTGTGCCGCTAAATTTGTTTTCCGCGAAAAGTATACAAAACGCTTTTCATATCAGAAATTGAAGAGTCAGAATCAGTTTAGACAGATTCAAAAACGTTAAAATCTGTCCCATAAGCCAATTAGAGCACAGAAGATTCAAGTCTGTCTCTTGAGCCAATCAGAAGAGAGCTGATTCAAATCTGAGCCAATCAGAGCAGAGAAAAGTGACTGTGAATGACGCTGCGTCACTAGCACGCGGATGAATCCACTGTACCCTCCTCCTCCTCTGGAGCGGCGTCCTCTACCACCTCTTCTTCAACGTCCGACATATCTGCAGCTCCTATGGAAAACGGATAACACAGATGGGCAGGTGAAACGCTGGGCTCAGACACACAGCGTGTAAGCATGGACATGGCAATGAAGTGGTGAATCTGGAATTGATCAAATGCTGTGATTCTCTGTCGTTTTCAGAGTTGTCTCTGATCGACTGGGTGTATGTCGATGTCAGTTGTCGTTTTTTTCACTGATGAAAACGCCGGTATGGGACTATCACGAAGGCCAATATCAAGACGCAATTTCAAAGACACACAGGTATGCCAAAGACGTTATTTTTTCCATGTTCTTGCCTGTGTGCAGAAAATGCCAGCCACCTTTCCCATACGAAAATTCTTATCTCGAGGATGCAGTGGCGTAGGGCACAATTAAAACCTCTCTAGCTTCATTTTACTTCGTTTGCAAAGGATGATTTTCATGGTGTTTCATCAACGATGTAGGCGTTCTGTAAGTACTGACGGAAAGAGGCGTAAACACAGCACCGTCGACCATTCAGCGTTGATCGTGAAGTTTCTATTCATGTCGCAAGGTGGCGCCCGCGAGCAAGACTGCACCACAAGGCATTCCCTAGGCCTACGTCAGGCTCCGTGTGGATCAATAACACGGACTTCACATCTGCAGTCAATTGGTCACCACAGTCGACAAATAAAGACGCCCGTTTGGTTACACCGTACGTGTTTGTAGTCATCTATTTGCCGCTAACATCTCACACCTCCATGCTAAGTTTGCTGTCGTGGGGGAAGCCGCGTGTCGTGGGACTATCGCATCCAGAACCGTGGCTATCTAGTGCTATGCCTGAGTGGGTTAGGCCTCGGTTAGGGTTAGGATCTCAGGCACGGTTCTGGATAGTCTCCGCGTATCCAAGAACGTAGATGTGCGCCTGGCACCGTCCCGGATACGCGTGAACTATCCAGAACCGTGTCTGAGCATGGTTCTGGATAAAGCACGGTTCAGGATACAACAGAGCACACACATGCACCCGTTACATGCACGTAATCCAAGTCCGCGCACACATGTCCTGTCGTGACAAAATTGAATAATCAGACGGTTTTAAATTCACTGCAAATTCCACAGTACGCGAGTCACACGTAGGTCAGTACTGGCCGACAATAAAGTCTAGTCCCTGAATATGATATGAAAACATCGCGTTACAGTAGGTCGCTAGGCTACTAATAAGACTACTACCAAAAAAGATGCTCTCCAGAAAAATCGTTCGGTACATAATTGTGTAGTAAACAATGTAATATACGAACTACTGTATTACTGTATCTCGGTAACTCTAGTTGCCAAATAAGAACAGAAAACGGGTATCAAAACACGTTACGATATAAGGTTAAATTTTTCTACATTATTGTATCCCTGGTACGTAGGGAGGTTTAACAACATATTCTAGTCTGGTAAAACTGTACCATTCCAAATTTGATGCAATGTTTATAAGGCGCTATCCGTAGTGTAATTTTGAGGCTAAGCATTTGTGCTGACACAGAGAAGGGGATGGGGCAATATAACACTAAGGTTAAAGGCATCCAATGCAATGTCAGGGCGGCTGGATGAGGAAGTCTTTCTGATATTGACATTTATGTCACATTTTCATACTTAAAGCTTTTGAAATAACCCCAAAGCAAGCTACATGATGAGCCGCCTTATTTCTATGTACTACGAATAAATTACTCTCCAAGCAGAGGTTGTGGGGGAATGATCGTTAGCTTTTTATATATGGCCGTTTCTTTTGTCGCTACCCCCATGGTAGCCGGCGACCTTCTCTGGCTATTGGATACTGTCTTGCCACCGAAAGTGATCTGCTTGGAGATTACCAATAAATAGCTAGAACCAGCCACGATACGAAACAAGCAACTGTGTTCTGTCAGCGACATCGCATTTTTGCCTCACAGATATCAGTATACTATGGGATAGTGTTCATTCAAATACAAGACAAAAATGATCAGAAAATTGACTTTTTAAATCTAGTTTTACCGCCCTGAAATCGAATTTAAGCGAAGGCTGCGCTCATTCACATACGGGAAATGATATGGTCAGATACAGATTCAGAAATAAACTACCCCCCTCCCCCAAAACCCCCGTTATGTTCCTACCCCTGACCCATCGCAAACACTAAACGGATTAGACGGTAAACCTTCGCACATCTTTTACAAGTAAATACCGACACGTGAAACACACAGCCGTATATGGATGGCCGTGTGCCAACTGCAAAGCTACAGTAACTGTTAAGAATTAGTGCCCTAATACCGTCTGGCCTCAAGGCTTTAGACTCAAATAAGAACCTTTTACTGTCAGTTATTTTGTTGTGGAGATTTTATAACAAAAATATAAGTCTCTTATCTTGCAAAATAGTCGAAGCAAGATAAGGATCTAAAATAAGCAATCTGAAATATTTGTTTTGGTTGAAAGCGCTGGTATCATAATTAATGCGCTGTAGCTGTGGATGATTTCAAAATATTGATGTTTATATAGATGCTATTTGCTGTCACATTTGAATGCGATGATTGTAAAGAAAATGCAGGATAAAATTCTGCAAAAATGTGTGTAATAGAAATTCATTCCATTGTCGAATAGAATGAACTTCGTTTTGAGTGGATGATGACGTTCTGAATCGTTCCGTGGCTATATCTGCTGTCCTCTGGACATTTTGTGGTACGTAGTAACCTGACTCCCAGTGCCCGCGAGGCAGTACGCCCGGACCCGCGTCTATTTTAGTCGCAGTCAACCCGAAATTGCCGGCATCGCCTTTTTTGGTCAACAGAAACCGGCCGTTTCAGATGTACACTAAACGGGAATAAACATTTCACAGACACCGTACAAACCGTAACGACTAGACAAACTCTGTCCTACCATCTCACAAAAAACGGGTTTGTGGAAAAAAAAAGTGTCAATAGCTGAAGCGAAGGTTAAGTTTTCTTTTTCCGACGGGCGATATAAAGCTTCAACCCTCGTCCTTCCGTCATCGCATTTCGCACATACTGCAGATGTCCGGGATCGCTCTCTAGACTTTCTATTTTTGAGATGGACGACTGTAGATAACGGGAAAGACGCTGGAACAGAAGATACTGACATTTTGCCAAGAAATTTCCCCCCTCCCGGTGTCTTCTGTAGAACAGCCGTATTCTGTGTTAGCAAACCAGCTTGCCGCAAATGTGACACATTCTTACCTAAACGGGAAAGGGGGACACCGTAGCAAAAGCGAAGGAAAGAGAACAAACCTAACACATTTTGAACGATATTACAACTTTTCAAAGTAAACCATATTAGAAGGATAGTTAGAAATCTGTCTTAAACTAGGAAGAGAATCATCGGAACATAGCAATAGGTGATATCTTCATCTATATGACGACATCAAAAATGTGTAATTCAAACCAAAGGCTACATCGGGTCACTTGTTTTTAGTACCAAACCTTGGAGTCTGTTGTTGAGATTACTTCAGTTAAAATGCATTCATTCTATAGCGTCAAACGAAAGCTGACGTTAAAACACGAATCTAACGTTGGCATTGTCTCCATACCTAGCCTTGAGCGTTAACTTTGGTGATATCTCCTATCTACAACACAATACTTATCATAGGAAACAATGGCAAGTATGCGTAGGTCTTATATATACATCTTTCTAACAACTACATGATAGTCATTCGGATTTCCAAGTAACCAAAGTTTTACACCGTTTCCTTTTTACCATGTTGGTGCAAAAGCTTTTCGCTTTCGTCTGAAGGAACGCCTTTAGCGTTAGAACTTCGTCCGGGACAATTTTATCTGCAAAACCTCCCAGTTTACATCTTCTTATACACCACAAACCGAGCCAAATCTGTAGTTCAAAGAAAACCCTTTAACAGATAGAAAAGCACACTACCTTATTCAGCGCGCCACGGAAAAGGAGGGCTCCTGCTGAAAAAGGGGAGGCAGTTGTTGAGCGACTTACCTTAACGGCCGGTCGGTCGGGAAAATGCCACACGGTAAGAGAGAGAGAGGGGAGTGAGACCGGCGACGTTTTTGGTCACCCTGTTCCAAGCTTGGTCTGACTGCAAGGGCGCAGGACCGTGCGGAATGTACCCCATTTACATAATGCCATCGCTGACATTAGCATACTATAATCGTATACGAGGCGAATAGCGCACATAGCTGGGGGTGCCCGGGGGACAGGCGGCGGGGTCGGGTTACCCCCTCCCCGCCCGCCCATTGGTGCGCTCCGGGCCCCGCCGGATCGGAATAGCACATACCCGGAGTGTGGGATGATGGGATATATATGGGTCAGTTCGAGCGATCGCTTGCAGAGATTAGATTACCCAGGGGTCTTTGTTCACGCCCAGGAAATAGCATAGCCACAACTTTTGATATCCAAAGCCATAGACTTTAAGTGTCGGGCCAAACAAGGGTGTTCAGAGCTGGTGACTCACTGCATGATACTAGTATGTCTACAACCAAGTACATTGATACAGCGGACGAGCTGTTTCACAGGTGCATGTGGTACATTTTGTACATCAGGGGGTTGTGGATTGGAGCAAGACCTGGTCAAAGGCAAACCATCGATAGTGTCGTCTGCCTGTCTAAAATCCTGATTTTCTATTTTTCACTGCCGCCATCATGTATTTGTACGTCATTTATTTGCTGTGCTTTGTTTGATCTTGATCAATCGTGTTAAGTCCCACTGTTGTTTCCAGAACCGTGCTTTATCCAGAACCATGCTCAGAGACGGTTTTGGATAGTCCCTACGTCTCCAGAACCGTTCCTAGGGTAGATACATGTTCTCGGAGACTATCCAAAACCGTGCCTAGGCCCAATCCTAACCCTAACCCTAACCCTTTCAGGCATAGAACTAGAGACACAAATATTCCAACGTATACCTCTCTGTTTTCCTTTTCGTTTAGATCTGCTACAGTTCAACATATACAGCCGCGGACAGCTCTAAATATCCCGTTGCATGTCGGGACAGGTGCAGGGACCGTTTGATCCGTTACAGTTTGAACTGTCAGGCGGCGGATAACGGTTGGATGATGTCCAATTTCCGATTACATCCATTACGTACACTGTGGTCTGAAACACAAGGACACTGTCTTCCTGTATTGCCACCCAGTGCTCTGGTTTATCCCAAGCTAAGCTGTTGTAATGTGCCGGGTATATTCTGTCTTGAAATGTCATCTGTGTTCGCATAAGTCATTATGAAGCAAGTCTGAACTATAAGCACAACACAATAAGCGCGAAACTGGACTTACCAAAATTTTCGACTGTACAACAACAGTCATTGCTAATTCCCGTTTTTGATTGGGGTATAACAAAATCACAAAAGGAGAACTAGACGACAGGAACAAGAGTATTCTTAGCTATCTTTTCTTCAACTTAAATTCTTCAATATCGACACAGTTTTTGTTGTACACATCAGTCGAGTCAGTCATTTTCCGAATAATGTACAGGGGTGCCAGAGTTTACAGTGCAATATCATACGGAATACAGTGCAATTTTACGGAACACAGTACAACCGTATTAGCACACAGTGCAAGTTTACGGAATAAAGTGCAATCGTATTATTATACAGTGCAATTTTAATAGTACACACAGCAATTTTAATAGTAAAATTGCGCTGTATACTAATACGATTGTACTGTATTCCGTAACATTGCACTGTATTCCGTAATATTGCACTGTATTCCGTAATATTGCACTGTATTCCGTAATATTGCACTGTATACTCTGGCACCCCTGATATATACAGTCACCCAATAGACAGGTACTATGTTTTGAACGTTGGCTGGTAAAATATGCAGTCAGCCTCAAGACAAGACTTTGAACTGTTTCATTCACGCTGTTCTGTGACGTCACGCTGATAGAACAGCTGATGCCATGACGTCATCTCATCAAAGCTGACGTCAGGGTTTTTGGCAGGGACGGAACAGTCTCAAAACGGAGTCATGACAAAATATTGACCTTGAGGAACATTATATTGTAAGAAAAACGTATCAATTAATGTTATTTTATTCATATCTATATTTGAAAGATTTCAGTAATGACTTATTATTCCTTAACTATGCCCTCTTGTCACACACACAAATAAAAGTGACATAAACAAAATACAAAAATAAGGTAGTAACAACAATGAAGAGAAAAGAATGAAGTACATAATGAGATGGGTACAATCAAAGAAAACAATAATAATAAGGCCTGTCTGCAAAATAATTCAAGTTGAAAACCCCGTGAAACATTTTATAATTGTTGGCAAGCGAAAACTTCCCCCCTGAGAATATAAAGTGTTGTCGGCCATTTATGTCAAATGTCAGGATATTGTTTGATGATACAGGATAACTAACGTATATCGAGTGTATATTTGAGGATAACATATGTCGAGTATGAAAATTAAAAATTTTCTGATCATTTCTTACAAGCAAGTTGAATAAACCCTACTCCATTGCAAATAACTGTCATTCAGGAAATGGAGATGTCAAAATATAACGCATCACGAGCGTGTTTAAAAGCTGGAAATACAGCTAGCGCTGTCAGCCATGTTTGTTTACATTTTGGTGTTTTGCGGTGGCACCACAAACTAAGGGCGCCTCGTGTGAGCTGTTTCAGCGCAGACCATAAATGCCACATGTGAGATAATTGCTTAAATATGTTGAAAAGTGGAAGTAGATTACACGAAGATTTTTTATGAATCAAAATAATTTTATTTTTTGGTGCAACAATGTTACATTATATTGATACCCTATCACTACACTATCAGCCCGAGGCCACACGATCTTCCCCTGAGCACAAGGCCGTGCCACGTCTCTCCATACTGCCACACAACATTAGGATAGCTGCGTCAACTGTCTCCCCTCTAGATTCATAGCAGGTAACAGATGTTCGGTACAGATGGTTTCAATCCTAAGAGCATCACACTTAGATTGGCAAGAACCTTTTACTATTTGTAGCATTGATCATGAGTTTCTTCAAGTTTGTTGTACTTATAATGGGGAAATTGAATAGCTCACGTAAAACATGATAGCATTTCACGACAAAGCAAATTTTCAAAAATGAGTTTGCAAAACTTCCTTATTTTAGCAGGTAAGCCGAATCGAGATGATATACAAGAGCATGTAGTCTGTTTTAAGTGATTCATTTTCTCATATCTTTTACAAAAACATTGCCTCATGAATCTTCCTTAAGTTGACTTTGACTTTATTGGGATCCACACTTAGCTTACAAAAATTGTAAGTTGTAAGTTCTTGTCATACAAAACCGAATATGGCCTTCCGAACACTGCCAAATTCCCCCCAACCATTGTTAGTAGCATAGTAGGTCAGGAGCAAGGTCAGGAGCAAGGTCGGCCATGATTGGCTGGTATTCGGCGAGGTCGGCTACTTTTCACTGAATGTTTCAAAATGTTTAAAAAACACATTCGGGTGTAGACGGGAGGTTCGCCCGTGGTTAGCTGGTGTGATTTTTTTTATTTTTTTTATTTGCAAATTCGACATGGACAATACAAGACATGGTGATGAGGTACTCTATCTGGTGTGATTGGCTTGTGTTCGGGAGTAGGTCATCAGCAGTGATCAAATATGACTCAAATTTAACTTCAGTTCGATTCGATTCGTACAGAGAGGTAGGGCCTGGCCAGACTGCTCCCGAACTTCAGCCAAACTTGCAATGCATTGGTTGGTTGGTGGTCGGGGAAAGGTTCTGAACGTGTGACAGGGGTTTAAGTACCTTCCCGGGTTCCCACGTTAAATATATCCCCGCAGAGAGAGCTAATAAAGACTCCAGCGTCCAGTACTATATGGCAGCGAACCACCATAACAGGACCAGGCTCCCACCATGTAGACCAGAAAGGAAGACGTCACATTTTTCTGCAGCGGTGTTCCGAACTGTTCTGAGCGAGAGCGGGTCTGGTCTGGACAGGAGAGTTCCGCTGCCCGGTCGGTCTCCGCTAACTTCCAAGAACCGTTCTCACACCAGGATAGTACGCTTTCTCTGACAGGGAAGTTGTATTGCTGCTTTAGTCGGACAGGTAAGTTTGTCTATCAGTTTTCTACCAGAACTTGCAGTTTAAAAGTTAGGAGACAAAAAATATTTCGTTACCAAGGGTGACCCGGCAAGGTCACTCCCCTCCCCTCGTCAAATTTTTCTGTAGAAAGCGGTAATATTTACAGCAACTTCTAAGTAATGTATTGTTGACAGGCTTTCGATTTGATGGTACAGTACGTACATGTGCTTTTCTGTCTCTTTTTTTGGCTGGAATTAAAAAGAGAATTAAATGCAACATATTATAATGCAGTACAGTCGCCTGTAACATAGATTTTGAGTTGGTGCCCTATGTGATGCTCAATATTCTGCTCAATTGTGACTATCATGATTATAACATTGGGCACCCAAAATGAAACCAAAAAGAACCTAAGAGAAGATTGTGCCATTCAAAGACATGTTAGGCTTTATCATGAGTATTGACAGAATCATTGTAACAGATAGGGACACATTTGGCCGTACGCGTGAAATCCTTCTTTTGGTAGAAATAAAACTCAACGCGTCAATCTCTGATTCTTTTCTACGCCTGACATTGCTGATTTGTTGTTTTTCAGTCAACTTCTATCAGCCATGAGCGACCAGGAGGAAGAGTAAGTTTTGTTTTTTTACTTTTATCTGAATGCATCAGAGTCATGCACTTGTGTGTTTTGAACTGTTTGAACACGGAGAAGAAAAATGCGATCCTAGCGATATTTTGCTAAACTGCAATGTTAGGATCAATAAAACATCGTGCCCTAAACCCTCCATGAATGATCCCATATACGTTGCTGTCGCTAGCGTGTAATGGATGTGAGACTTAAAAATGTACGCATGGGTAGCCAAGGGCAGCATAATTTTATGTATGTAGATTGAAGAGATTAGTTACATTCTAAATACAAGCTTACATTATGTTGTGAATTTCCACATTGCTGTATGTTATATTGTCACATATGTCGATGTACCTCATATAGTTTACCTTTTGCCTTGGATCACGTTGAAACCAGAGAAACTGACCGAATAAAACAAGAAGTGACGAAATTCGTAGCCACACGTTACCGAAAATAAACTGTTACAAAATTAACATGACCTTGATATCTCTTGAAAGAGCTCATGATACATTGTGCATCTAAGTACGGTCTTATTATGTAGGCCAATGTATACACAATTCGCCGACAAAACGAGAAAATGTAATAAATTCCTGATGCAATATCATATTACTATCAATAGAGTTAGATTAGTATGATTAGTATCTCTTTATCGTTATACATTGTATATGAAAGTAGACTAGATTCTTAGTACAGTTAGTAGAACTGTTAGATATTTTTAGCATCACCAACTATGTATGTATATTTTGCCATACGTTGTACCCGCTATATCTGTTGCGCAAAAAAGTTCTATTAGTATTATATTAGTCCAATTCAAGTCTCCGAGGTGACCAATTACATGAGTCACACATCGCCATCACACTCACGGCACCCACCAACAGTCTATTCCAATCTTGGCCCTCAGCCTGCTGTCAAATCATTTCTTGACTATTTGTGGACACCTGTGCAGGTACGAAGGTGAGGAGGAGGTTGAGGAGGAGGAGGAAGTTGAGGAAGAACCGGAACCGGAAGCCGAACCGGAACCCGAGCCGGAACCTGAGCCGGAACCGGAACCGGAGCCTGAACCAGAACAGGCCAAGCCCAAGCCTAAGTTTATCCCATCGTAAGTCACTGTACTCTTCGAGTTCCTTCATGGAGGTATGAGATCTCCAAATTCTTGTTTTGTTTTGTTCTGTTTTCAAACCTCGCAATGACTACAAAAATGTTGTTCCTTTAATTTTACTTAGAACATACGAGCAGCCCAAATATGAGGGAGACGAAGACGTCGAGGCCAGGTTTGGGGTAAGTCACGTTTGACTTAATTTCCTTCCTTTGCCGTGTTGACAAACTCTTAACAACATTTTTGATGAAATGAATCACTTTGAATATTGTGTGTATTTTATAAACAGTTTTTAAATGTCTCAACTAAACAATTGTATTTTCAAGAGCAGTATTAAATTTCTTTGCAATTATGTCTGTTTTGTCAGCTGAAGGACAATTGAGTGCAATATTATATGTCAGTTGAGTGTGAAAACTGTAATACGCCATGTAATATGCCACACGCCTGTATTAAAAGTGTATCCAGTAAAACTGTTCTAGGGCGTTCTTGTTTACGTTAGCGCCCATAATTAAACATTTTGTATAGCTTTGCTTGAGTTTCTTTCTGTTTTGTATGCCACATAGTGATTGTACAAATCAGTGCAATTCAGGTTGTTGGCCATGTACCTCATGCTGCGAGGCTGATTTTCTTAATTAATAAACTGTAAACTGTAAATTGACAGCAATTCCGTGACGAAAATTGTCGTTATGTAGCGAGCAAGAGGAATTCTTTAGATGTATGGAAATGTTACCGCTCATGGATGGCTTATCTAATGGTATATGAACCGGGTAGCATTGCAAAGTTCAACAAGCAAAATCTGAGATGTTATACCTCCGGGCTTTTTATTGTATATTTTTATATGTTGTTTACAACAACAATTGTTGCGCGCTGCAGGACTAGGGTTTTAAACAAAGAATTTATCGAGACCGGACACCCCTCTGTGTTAGGGGTCACCTTCGTGGACGAGACCAGCAATACCTAATACACGCCAAAGGTCAACGGTCGCGACTACTTTCACGCTCAAAGGAGTGTTCTGGAGCAACCAAAAGGTACCATTTTCACGCCCGAAAACACATATACAATAAAAACAAAAGAACGTGCATTATCTGCAGGCCAATAGCAAAACATTTACCGACTCTCAAAAGAATCCGTCCACCCAAACGCGAGATACAGGTGCGAACATGAAAATCTAAATCTCTCACAAAACCCTTCCGCGGAAGGATGTCTCCTCCCCCGGAGGTAATAAAGACATCTTGAATCTATGAATGATAGTCTTCTTTAGCAGTTGTGATTTCTCTCCTGCAGCAAATTGCCGACAAGCGGCGTCAGAAGGACCTGCAGGAGCTGGAACAGTTCATCAAGAAACATTTCGAGAAGCGGGAGAAGGAGGAGGAGGAGCTGCAGCTGCTCATCGTGCGCAGGGTCAGGAAATATCGACTTGTCATTTTAACAAATAATTGCTTCTTTATTAGAAACATTTGTAATAGAACGTAAACTATGCCGCAAAGGGAGAGTAGATCCTCATAATCTGATACAATCTATGTTCCCCTTCTTTATACATCTAAGCTGTACAGATAAATTTATATTTCTAATGAGCTCAGACAAACCTTCTATATTGAAACATATCTGTTCTTACCTTTTTGCCATATTACTAAGAAACGAGAAGAAACCGAATTTACTTGATTGTAGCTATTTGACGATGTCTATATGTAACGTTATCTGTATTCCATCCTTTTGTTGTACTTAACCCAGTGGGTATGTGTGTACAATAAAGGTCTTCATTCATTAATCATACTTATTCATATAATGATGATTTTTATTTGGTAATCATAAATTTGGAGCAAAAGCATCGCTCAACAGCCAGTTCCGTGCCGTCAGAGGATTTTGCTTTGTTGTCAAACTTTGACAGACAGTGACAAGTTGGTAAGTTTCCCATGACTCTCCAACAGCACACTGACCGTGACCAAACTGTTACCATCCTCAGGAAAAACGCAAAGCTGAGATGGCGGATAAAGAAGCGGCCCGCAAGGAGAAAGAGCGGGAGAGGGTGGCCGAGGAGAAGGTAAAAATGTCATCGTCATCACACACACGCCACCGTACCAGCCATTCCCATCTTGGCCATGGTCAGCTTTGTAAAAAAAGTATTTCTATCAGTATGTCATTAAAGTGTACCTGATATTTCAATTGTTTAGAACCCAAGGTTAAAGCAGCAATCACCCAAGACCCTTTGTGTGACGTCTTTCAAAGCTTTAAGAAGTGGTTTTGTTTCTAGGCTCGCTTGATGAAGCAGCGGGAGGAAGAGGAGCGAAAGCGCAAAGAGGAGGATGACAGGAAGAAGAAACTGGCCAACGTCAACCTGCACATAGGCGGCTACCTGTCCCGGGTAAGTAGGGCTACCTGTCCCGGGATATTAGGGCTACCTGTCCCGGGTAAGTAGGGCTACCTGTCCCGGGTAAGTAGGGCTACCTGTCCCGGGTAAGTAGGGCTACCTGTCCCGGGTAAGTAGGGCTACCTGTCCCGGGTAAGTAGGGCTACCTGTCCCGGGTAAGTACGGCTACCTGTCCCGGGTAAGTACGGCTACCTGTCCCGGGTAAGTATACAAACATGGTACAGACACTGAATCATGATACAGTAAAACTAGAATAAGTTTAATCCCCCCCTAAAATTACATTGTATGCCTTTAACGCTTTGGTCTGCTGTGTGTGTGTTTGTATACCTTCAGCTGGAGGGGAAAGAGAAGGGTCCCAGTAAGCGGCAGTTGGCTCAGGAGGCGAAGCGGAAGAAGATCCTGGCCCGGGTGAAGCCCCTGCCCGACCTCAGCACCATGTCCGACTACGAGCTGCGGGAGAAGGCCCAGGAGCTGCAGGACAGGCTCAAGTTCTCCGAGGAGGAGTTGTACGACATGAAGGAGAAAGTGCAGCGACAGGTTTACGACGTGAGTACGACAAGCATAGTCAAAGTTTATTGCACAACGATTGTCACGGGTACAATGTATGGCAAATAATAAAGTTACTAGTTGGTATGAGTCTATCATAATGCTATATATGGTCAACTGTTACTGTGTCTGACAGAGTGTTAAAAAGAACTACTGGCTAAAAATATTTCACCTCTACACGTACGTTATACATTACGCTAAACTATACTTAAGAAGGGCACAGTGAGTAGTTGTACCTATATAAAACATGTACTAAACAGAGTGTCGACTAAATTACTTGCCAGGAATGTTACAATTCTACATAGAAATGCTACGATACGCTACTCTATATACATATGAAGAGTGTTTGTTGGCATAAGACTTTAACCCTCAACAGTACACCTTCCCGGACTGATTAATCTGTACACCTGGGGTCCGCGCGGACCCCAGAGCATTTTTTTGCTAATTTTTAGAAATTATCAACATGCTACCAGCTCAATTGTTTTGCAAACTGATGTGGGAACCTCTGTGTCCACATTACATACAAAAATCATACATTTTGAACTTTTTCTATTTTTTGGTGAAGAAAAGAAGACAATAAGAAATACCCGATTTTTAAACCCATTTCAGACTGAAGGGGCTTTTGAGGCCCAACTTTGATCTCAGATAGCGGCTAAACGGCTTGCGCTAGAAGTATCAAATTTGGAGACCTTTCTTAAAATGTCTCTGGAAAAAAGTTCATATTAGTTTTATACTAGTAAGTTGATGTTTTTTTGTGTTGCCATGGCAACGGGTAGTTTTTTTGAAAATAGAAGTAATTTTGGTTTAAACATAAAAATTTTCTGAGTTTTATATAAAATTACACTTCTTTTCCAACATTAATAACATCTTACATAATTAAATATAAGTTAAATCATTTAATATGCATAGAATATGCTAATTTGATGACGTCATTGGTCAAAATCCAATATGGCGGACTATATTATTAGCTCTGACGTCATATGACGTCATAATTACACCAAAGTTATTAAAATTTAATTCTATTACTACACCATTCTCTGAAAACTTGGTAGACATACGATGAATGCATAAAAACATATAAAAACGGAAATAAGGTAATGTATAAGAACGCCAGTGTATCCATTATGATCGAAAGCCGGCTGGGGTCCGCGCGGACCCCAAAAGAAAATCAGATATAATTTTTTTTATAAATGGTAGAAACACTGTATTGAGAGACAACTTTGTGGGTGACAATTACCTAAAATTTCAGAAAAAAATCTTTAGAAACAAAAAAGATATTGCAGAATATATAGTGCTGGGGTCCGCGCGGACCCCAGGTGTACTGTTTAGGGTTAAAAATGTTTTTTTAATCAAATATAGTGTGCACCTGGTGTTTCCGTCGTACAATTGAATCTTGTCTTTGTCAACTACGTCACATCAATCAATATCTCACTTCAGAGTTAATTTGATTACACATCATCATGCTCATTAACATTACCTCAGTAACACAACAATACACATGAAGTCCAAACCGATCCAAAACATTGTCGGATTCATCTATCAATATCTATTTATACATTGCGTATTCATGAGATTTTGGTGTTCAAGACATACATGCATTTTACCCCGGTAGTTTTGGGTTGTTTCTAATGTTGTTCACAGTGCTCACTACTTGTGGTGTTTATGTTTTCAGATGGACCGTTTGAGGACCACCATTAACGAAGCCATGGGCAAATTGTAAGTATTAATGTGCTTCATGTACAAATATAGTACACGTTAATGTGTTACCTCTGTACCAGATTCTCATCATGGTTGGTTGGTTGCAATTGTTTGGTTGGTTGGTTCGTTGTTTAGTTGGTTGGTTTTGAAACGTGCTCAATCGCTTGGTTTCCTCAAACACGGACTAGTACTGCACGAGATGGTATCTCTACAAAGGACACATTTTTTGAAAGACATGCGTAAAGGTCCACTTTCTAGTGGTCATTTACACATTATTTGACCCAAGAAGGTTTAAAATGATGAGGGGACGGACGGGATTATTACCTTTTGTACTATGCTAGCCGCGGGCGTCAAAATTGTAATTGACACAATTTTAACCTCCAGTACTTCGAGATTAGAATTCTTGTAGTGCGGAGAAACAAGAAAAGTGTGTACCGATGAATGTTGTCTGATTTCCCGTTGTTGTTGTTTTTCTTCAGCAACAAGCCGGGCACGGCTGGAGGCGCACAGAGAGGACGGGTAATGGCACTTCTTTTGTTTTTACATATTTCAGATTATGCCTTCCTATACTCTTTTACTGAGATGTAGCTTTCGGTGGTACATGTCAGGACAACTAAAAATGTCGACAAACACTGATGGGCCAACTCTCCTAGCAGAGGTTTGGGTTTGGGCTTTTTTGGCGTGTTTTACCCTTTTTTTATCGGGCAGTTTTCAGGCTTTTTTTATCAGGCTTTTATTTTGCACTGGTATCTTTTTACGCCAACCCAATTTTTTTTTATGTAGGGTTGGCGTAAAAGAAGATACCAGGGCAAAAAAGCCCGATGAAAAAATCCTAAAAACACGCCAAAAATAACCCAAAACCCAAACCTCTGCTTGAAGAGTATGATGACCGCAACATTGGGTGAGCTGAGCATTACGGTTGGACTTCACAATTTTTGACGATACTAGACAAAAATGGTATATATCTTAAACAGTCAGAAGATGCCGATATTCTTAACTCTTTTTTGTCTCTTCTCTAAATATAGGTTGCCGGAAAATTCGGAAAGTAATAATCTGAGGGGCAACATCCGACAGATCCTCCTCCTGGTGCATCACGGGAAGACTGTTCTTCTCCATTGTTCCTACATCGCGGATGACAGAAGTCAAGCTTAGCACTGCACGAATTGAACCCATCTTTGACACCTCAAAACATGCGTAAATGTTCATTTTCTTCAATCCGGTGATTATGTACGGATGCTGAAAACTGTGCTTAAAGATTGGATTTCTTGTAGCGTAGGTACCGCACAAAATATAAAACAGACGTCCTGTTCAACAAAGTTAATCCGTATTAAAGTTTGATTCGTTGAAGTTTGGACTAGTCAAAAGACGATTCAACTTCATTTAAGCTCCAGAAGGCTGCCCGACTAGTGTAAAAGTTCCCCCAACTTGTTCAATTTTACCGTAGAATTCTGAAGACACCATCTGTTAGAATTGAGCAAAATTGATCATCTATTTATCATTACTAGTTGACATTTCGTATATTCAACTGTTTGAGAGCGTAACATGTAGACATGTGAAAGATTAAGTTAACGTTGCTGTAGCCTTAATTTGTTCTTGATGTGCTGACATGGACTGAGCTGGCTATGAATGTAAATAAAATAATTGAAAACTTTGTCCCTTCTGCAATGTTTTACAACATAGAAAAGTGTCTATCCTCAACCATTGCTACTCCAACTGCCGACCCTAAATCTCCGAGCAGATACTGGGAGGGAACAGTAACCTTTCTGGCTGACTGGTTGTTCGACAGGTTGGGGAGATAGGCCGCGGCAGTCAAGTTCTAAAGTTTAGTGAACGGCCTCCTTCAGTTGTTGTCACTCTTTAGAATCTGGTAATCTCCAAGCAGATTCGGTGGGGCAAAGGGTTTTTTTTTTAATTTTTTTTCTTAAACTTTTCCGTGTCCACCACGGCACTTTATTCTCTCGACATGTATATTGCAAATAATATATCAGCATATAAGCTTAATAAATTAATGAAGTACATAAGTCTTGCGAACATAAAACAATTTTTTTTTGTGTTTGTCTTAAAGAGAGTCTTATTCTGGTCGTTCTGAATAGTAATCATGAGTGAATGTCCTAAACAAATGTAGCACAGTGTGTTTTCTAAATAACTCCTTGTATGCTATCCAAGATACATAAATTGAATATTTTTCTAAGGTGACATAAAAATTATCTCCAAATAGTACAGAAGCTATCGTATTTGTGTCTATAATAATAGGGGCAAGGGGACTTTGTATTGGCTTGGGGCGGCCAATTGATACAGACGGACAATAAAATGTACAAACGCTGGTCAAACTCCCCACCGAATCTGCTTGGAGTTTAAGGGATCTAGGTCAAATTGGGTTAGACGTAATCAGATGCAATTAAGATGACGCAGTAAACCTAGTTCGAAGGTACGACCACCCTGACACAATGACACAGTTCGGGGATTGCTGGTGTCAGGAGCTGAGGGACGTCACATCCTTCCCCAAGGGGTTATGTGACGTCACGCACGGCGACCCAAAAGAATCTATGACGTCACGTCCTGTCCCAGCGGGCCTGTGACGTCTCACTGACCCAGACCGGGTGGTAAAAAAACACCTGTTACACATTTAGAACCTACCTAGGTTGGCTGAAGATCTGGAGTAGTCTGACTAGATGTAGGTCATACTAACACTCTTGACCTACTCACAAACACTAGAAACAAGCAGTCAACCACGGCTGAATCCCCCGTCCACACCCGATATGTATCAAGCATTTTGAAACATTCGGCTGGTGCAGCCGAACAGTAGCCAACCTTGCCGAACAGTAGCCAACCACAGCCAACCTTGCTCCCGACCTACTCTGAACCATGGTTGGAGGGAGTTTGACAGTGTTCGGGAGGCCAAAGTCGGCGCAAAGGTGTTACATGGTCGAACTGAGACTGACCAGTGGATTGACCTAATTGTTTTTTTTTTTGGGGGGGGGGGGCTCTTAGCAAATCTGTGTAATCGTTTGAATGGTCAAGCAAGAGTTAAAAGTGTCCTTGAGCAGAGACGATTGTGGACAGAAAGCTTTATAATATTTAAAGATGGTCACCAGTACAGGTTTGAATGTACATCAATGGTCAGGAGGTTCTTTTGTCGAGGTGGTCACTATTGTAGGTTGACTGTACTTAAGGATGGGGTATGATTGTCCATATTTCCTCCACAATGGAAGAATGGGGGCACAAAATTAAACCTTTCAAATATAATATTTGCACACTGTGTGACTTACATTGTACGTAAGAGTCAACATCATAAGAATGAAAGGTAACACACATCATCACAAGGTGACAAATCATGTTAATTTTGAGCTAATTGTTTAGGGACATCCCAGCAAGCTGTGTTATCGATAATTTTAATTGAGTAGTCAAACACAAAGTTAAAATCGTTTTAAAGGCTGGGGCATAATTGTCCATATTTCCCTCACAATGGGAGCGACAAAGCCTACTTGGGCACAAAATTAAACCGTCTACAAATGCTTCAGAAATAACACCTTTAGTGACTTATATTTCACATGTTTGTAAGAGTTAATTTCAGAAGAATCAAAGGCAACACGGAGATATGTTAATTTTGAGGTGTTTTGTGCCGTCGCACAATGTGTCCAGAAAACCGTAAAATCCACTGGCCAGAAAGAAGTGCCCTCATACAAGTCAGGGACAATCCGTAGAAACAAAAAAAAAACATAAGAATGAAAGGTAACACGGAGAAAATCATGTTGATTTGAGCTAATTGTTTAGGGACATCCCAGCAAGTCGTGTTATCGATAATTTTAATTGAGTAGTCAAACACAAAGTTGAAATCTTTCAGGATTTAAAGGTTGGGGCATAATTGTCCATATTTCCCTCACAATGGGAGCGACAAAGCCTACTTGGGCACAAAATTAAACCGTCTACAAATGCTTAAAAAATAACACCTTTAGTGACTTACATTTCATATGTTTGTAAGAGTTAATATAAGAGGAATCAAAGGCAACACGGAGATATGTTAATTTTGAGGTGTTTTGTGCCGTCGCACAATGGGTCCAGAAAACCGTAAAATCCGCTTGCCAGAAAGAAGTGCCCTCATACAAGACAGGGGCAATCCGTAGTAACCAAAAAACATAAAAGGTAACACGGAGAAATCATATTGATTTGAGCTAATTGTTTAGGGACATCCCAGCAAGTCGTGTTATCGATAATTTTAATTGAGTAGTCAAACACAAAGTTAAAATCGTTTTAAAGGTTGGGGCATAATTGTCCATATTTCCCTCACAATGGGAGCGACAAAGCCTACTTGGGCACAAAATTAAACCGTCTACAAATGCTTAAAAATAACACCTTTAATTTTAGTGACTTACATTTCACATGTTTGTAAGAGTTAATATCAGAAGAATCAAAGGCAACACGGAGAAATGTTAATTTTGAGGTGTTTTGTGCCGTCGCACAATGTGACCAAAAAACGTAAAATCCAGTTTCCAGAAAGAAGTGCCCTCATACAAGACAGGGGCAATCCGTAGTAACAAAAAACATAAGAATGAAAGGTAAGACGGAGAAATCATGTTAATTTTGAGCTAATTGTTTAGGGACATCCCAGCAAGTCGTGTTATCGATAATTTTAATTGAGTAGTCAAACACAAAGTTAAAATCGTTTAGGTTTTAAAGGGTGGGGCATAATTATACACCTTTCCCTCACAATGGGAGCGACAATGCCTACTTGGACACAAAATTAAACCGTCTACAAATGCTTAAAAAATAACACCTTTAGTGACTTACATTTCACATGTTTGTAAGAGTTAATATCAGAAGAATCAAAGGCAACTCGGAGCTCGAGATATGTTAATTTTCAGGTGTTTTGTGCCGTCGCACAATGTGTCCAGAAAACCGTAAAATCCACTGGCCAGAAAGAAGTGCCCTCATACAAGACAGGGGCAATCCGTAGTGACAAAAAACTTAAGAATAAAAGGTAACACTGAAAAAATCATGTTGATTTGAGCTAATTGTTTAGGGACATCCCAGCAAGTCGTGTTATCGATAATTTCAATTAAAATTGAGTAGTCAAACACAAAGTTAAAATCGTTTTAAAGGTTGGGGCATAATTGTCCATATTTCCCTCACAATGGGAGCGACAATGCCTACTTGGGCACAAAATTAAACCGTCTACAAATGCTTAAAAAATAACACCTTTAGTGACTTACATTTCACATGTTTGTAAGAGTTAATATAAGAGGAATAAAAGGCAACACGGAGATATGTTAATTTTGAGGTGTTTTGTGCCGTCGCACAATGGGTCCAGAAAACCGTAAAATCCAGTTGCCAGAAAGAAGTGCCCTCATACAAGTCAGGGACAATCCGTAGTAACAAAAAAAACACAAGAATAAAAGGTAACACGGAGAAATCATGTTGATTTGAGCTAATTGTTTAGGGACATCCCAGCAAGTCGTGTTATCGATAATTTTAATTGAGTAGTCAAACACAAAGTTAAAATCGTTCAGTACTTAATGATTAGCGCATAATTGTCCATATTTCCCTGACAATGGAAGAAATAATGACTACTGAGACACAAAATCAAACCGTCTAGAAATGCTCAAGAAACACCTTGCGTGGCCTACTTTTTACATGTATGTAATAGTTAACATCAAAAGATTCAAAGGCAATACGGAGTAATGTCAATCTTGTGCCGTCGCACAATGTGTCCAGAAAACCGTAAAATCCAAGTTGCCAGAAAGAAGTGCCCTCATACAAGACAGGGGCAATCCCTAGTAACAAAAAACTTCAATATTGGCACCCACAGCTACAATTGCAAGCCGTGGAGCCGACAAGTCCCAGACTTACAAGCCGTGATTTAACCTACAGGTACCGGCATGACGACAAACGATTTACCGTCTATTCTTAGGCAGAGATAAGGGTGTAAGTGGTCCAAAAAAACCACCTGTAGATAAGGTCTGATTACCATAAACACGCAACGGGGACGAAATGTTTGTAAAAAGATTTCCGTCACATTGTCGAGGGGATGCGTAAAGAAGTGGTCGGACCGGTCGCCTGTATGGGGCGGAATTAGCGCCAACACGTCACGGATTTAACTATGAATGAAGATTATTTCCGCCAATAAGTAATTTTTGAGGCTGGGATAAGTATAAAAGTGGTCAAAGTACAGCTAAATCCCAGTCTTCTGAAACCGGGAAGAAGTTCGAAGAAGACGACGAAGAAGAAATACTGTCTACTGCCACCACTTATTAGCTTTCTGAAGACTATATCTAAGAGTTTGGAAGCGTTCTGTACGTATATAGACTTGACTAGAGATGCAGCTATCTAAAAGCGCTTTTCTCGCCGGTTTGGTCGCGATGCTACCGGTCCTCGCGGCCGGGCACTCGTGGATCGCCTGCACGGACTACACGGAGATGAACGGCCAGGACTGGGACGCCGGGAAGTGCCGGGCTTTCCCACGGTCCGGGCAGCAGTTCGTGCCGAAGAGCGCCGCGTTCGGCACCGATACGGGGTACAATTTCCACGGGAAGGAGGAGCAGCCGTGCCGCACGGCGAGGAACGACGGCGGGGCCTACACGGCAGACCACCCCATGGCGGTGTACTACCCCGGGCAGAGGGTCGTCTTCACACACCCTACCAAGGTAATGTCTGTTACTAATAGTATAGTCTGACTTTTTGTCGGCCTGCGCACTGGTCTTCTTGCAATATTGGTTGCCCTATAGCTAAAGCTCACTTTCAGGACGACCTTCCCCAGATGTACCACCAACCAACCAAAGTTGGCTGAAGTTCGGGAGCCAGATTTAGGTACTGCCTGGCCAATTTGATACTGTGTTTGCAGCCACAAAATATTTTTCTATTTCAACGACGATGACAAGACATGGCGACGATACACTCAAGTTTTGTCGACTTCTCAGCTATTAATTAAAGTTTAACCTGATTAAAGTGAGAAAATTCGCAAGGGCACAAGATCGGTGGCATGTCAGGATTCAAACTCGGGACCTGTTGGTTCCAGCCCAACACGACCAAAAGATCTGCTTTGAGATATTAAACTTTACTGACCAAGGTCTTATTTCCCCGTGACAGAACCACGTGGCCGATCCCGGCTGCACCAACAACTTCATCCCCGATAACGGCAACCAGATCCTCGTCGGGCCGAAGGACGGCGGCGCCGACCCGAAGCTGTCCGGGTTCACGCTCCTGGAGGACCTCGGGGTTTCTCCCACGGGGGACCTGCCCGCGTCCATCATGTCGTCGTACCCCAAGCCGGGCTACCAGAACGCGCCCAAGTTTTGCGACAACCAGGACAAAGCTTTGGCCACTGGAAACTTCACGCTACCGACTGACATGCAACCAGGTAACTACAGCAAACCTTTGCGATGCCGTTTTAAAGTTTGCATGCTTCTTATAGATTCAACCATACAATAGCAGGGAAAGAGTGTGCCTTTCCTAAAGTGTGTTCAACAGTAGCAAGAAGTTCGTTCAACGGTAGGAAGTGTGATGTCGATAAACGCTCTAGGGCCTAAAATAACTTTGATATCTTTGTAAAAAATGTTGTAGATCACTTCTACTTCACAAGAAAATTTTTTTGTACGATCTCATCCCTTTTCGGGTTGTGGACGCATCAAAACTTTTTTTGTTTTCCTCCGCTAACTAGAAACTCTCTTCTTCGTAGCGATCATCTAAAATGTCCTAAATCTCCAACTTCTTTACTGACATTTTTTGTCTTGCCCGTTTGTTTGTTCCCAGGCCGCTACACGTTCCTGTGGGCCTGGAGCTTTAACAGCCCGCAGGACACCTACACCAGCTGCTGGGAGGCGGACGTGGTGGCCTCGCAGACCGAGCGGGATAACCGCCTGCAGCAGCGCGGACAGGCCAGCGGCGACGCCTGCGACTTCAACACGAACTGCAACGGCGGGAACTCCGAAACTGGTGGTGAATCCGGAACCGGAGGGGAATCCGGAACTGGTGGGGAAGAGTCCGGAAATTCCGGTTCCGAGACGGAGGGTTGTGACGACTGCCTGACGTTCGTGTACACCAGCCTGAAGACCAACGTGGCGACCGGTGAAATGAGCATATCCGCCGACTTCCCGCCGCCCAGGGCCGATCCCAACCATCCCGGACAAGTGGACGTTCGATTTCCGTTCCCGGTCAAGAACGCTGTGGTGAGTTGAGTTTTGGAAAATTAGTTTTGAGAACTTAATGTGTCTCTTTCTGACAGGATGGCGACGTCTCTGCATGTCTCTGTAAAGGTATATAACGTTACTTCAAAAGATTTCAATGTCTGAAATCAAAACTCTCTAAAGAATGAAGGATCACAATGACTCTAAACTTGAAATAAGGGTGATGTTTAAAAAACACACCGCTGGCGATGTCGGGGTTATGCAAATTAGGTCCTCATTTCTATAATTAATATCCATCTATGTTTACCTTTACGTAACTCCGAAGAGCCACAGGTATAAATTAAAAATGTAAAATCATTACCAATATTGAATTGTACATGTATAATTTTTCATTGATTATGTAAATAATGTTTTCTTTTGTCTCTCCGCCACAGTTCGCGGTGGGCAGGAGCACGGTAATCCCCTCCACGGAGACGGCTGACGGCGTGTTCGTGCTGAGTGAAGCGGACCTGGTGCCCCTGGCAGGCGACAAGCTGACGGTCACGGTCCGGTTCGACGACGGCGTCGGGCCGACCTGCTTCAGCCAGGCGGGGAGGGTGCGCATCGAGCCCGTCGGGTACGTCGCCCACACCCCGCTGGACTTCTTCTTCGAGCAGCGGTGGAACGGCGGCGGCATGGGGCGCATCGTGCTGCCGGACAGCCGGCGGACGCTCCCCGGGGACTGGTGGGTGGAGGTCACCTTCCCCTGCCCGGACCTCACCTTCCAGGTGTGGTACGGCACCGACCAATCAACAGACGAGCAGAAGTCACGTGGGCAGTACGTCATCCGCCAGCCCGAGTGGGAGACGCAGAACACCAATCACATCGGCTTCACGGTGCAGAACAGCGCATGCGCGTTCCTAGAGGACGACGTGGTAGCAACTTTGGTAACTGCCGGAAAATAATGTGTTGCTATGGGGATATATACTAGTACATGTAAGTCATACATATAAATACACTACATTATTTTTTTGATAATCACCCTGATTAAATGTACAAATGGCATTGCCTCTCTCTATATAGCTATGACCACACCTCTAGTGTACCTGTGAGAAACAGGAAATATTTTAATTCTCACAAATAAGGTTTTCTCCTTTTAAAGATTTGTTTAAAGTGCTGAAAGAAAATTGTTCTTGTTGATTACAAGTATAATGTGATTGAATAGTTGATGCATATGATTGAATAGAAATGCATATAGATAATAGAAATGCATACATGTACCCTATGCGTGTAAACTTGTAACCTAAAATTCGAAAATGCTGGCCATTGTATACGTTTTCTTTTGTATAAACAGTCCAGATAGTCTTCATGGTATGAAAATGTGTATCATCGACATAATGGTTCTATATTGTTTCCATTATGATTGCCTCAGGAAGAAACTCTGATTAGATTGTTAAATACACTACTCATCATGCAACCCCTCAAACTGTCTTGATTTCGGTTTTTCTGTGTGTGTGCTTTCGCATACTTTTAGTCAGCATAACTTAGAAGGCCTTTATGGATTGTGACGACATTTGGTATGTCAGTAGGTCTTGGAAATACAAATGTCAAGGCCAAATTTGGGCCTCCTGGTTGCTGACCTTGGTACTGCAGCAGAACCTCCAGTTTTTGTATCTTTTGTCCTGAACATGCTACGGTCTTGATTTCTTAGTGGCTGATAGCTTTTGGTGTCAGGAACAAGTGGTGCAGGTTTGGTCCCCCTAGCAACTTGTTGTTTGTATCTGTGGAGATAGAAGTATTGGTTGTGGTAGAGGCATAACTCCCTTTGCTAGTCTCTACCAGACTAACTACGCTGGCTATGTATAGGACAATATTTGCCAGGGGAGTTTGGTCGCCTTGGGGTTTGACTATGCCGCGCAGTTAGGGAACAAAACTACCTCCCCGCGGCCGGACGCCCTTGGCCCATTTGATTCTCTTTTTTGGCAAATTCTACGATCCGTATTCCCGTAGAAAGGCCTGAAACTACCTCCCCACGGCCGGACTCCGTTGGCCCATTTGATTCTCCTTTCTGGCGAATTCTACAATCCGTATTCCCGTAGAGAGGCCTGGTGGAGGCTACCCCTGTGCCGTGTAAAAATGGCCTATCAGGGATGGCTCCAAATTTAAGACCATCGCTCCAAGAAGTCTTCAAAGGAGGCTAGCAATCTGCAGGTATTTGAAGTATCTGAAGAAGACAGTCACAAGCAAATACATCAAAACCCGAATCTTTATTTCCCATACAAACAAGAGAATCACATCAAATCATCCTTAAAACAGTACCTCATGGCTAAACTAGTACACAAAGGACAGTATCGTAAGTCATAAATACATTACCAAGCAGCACTGAAATATTGTCAACTGTATAATAATTTGTATAATAATTGGTACTCCCCTTTATCACAAAAATGACTCTTTGAAAACACATGTAACTTTTACACAGAAATTTCAGACTGAAAACATTTTATTCAACTCCATAACATATTGTTCCCCTTGATTGTTCAAAGAAATTTAGCTACCCAATTGGGAAGGTAAATTGGTGGTACTGACAGAGCAGTTGGAAGTCTCTTTTACGTTACATTTTCCTATAAAAAAAATATGATAGGCCTTACAAGTGCCAATATAATTGACATCCTGACTACTTTTGAATAAAATGTCCAGCAATATCTGCTTAATATGTACAAAAGATGGTAGCTTTGTAAGTAACTCCATTTACCATTTTTGGCTAGCCTCTACCAGGCTTCAGAGGTGGCTAGAAGTTGGGCAAATAGACAGATAACATGCCAGGGGACCGGAGTTGCTAAAGAAGTGCAAAACAGCAAACTGTAGTCCTTTAGCAGACCATGCCAACCCCACGAGTATGTTATCTGTCTATTTGGCCCATTTCCACTATTTTCAGTCACTTCTGAAGCATTGGTAGAGACTAAGTTTTGACCTCTAAGCTGCATTTTTGTCCCAGAAAACATGGTAAGCAAGGGCACAAATTAAGTACTTATCAAGCCATCTATCTGCTTTGTAGTGGAGAACTATGTAACATACAAATAAACTCTTATACTTTTCATTGATCTACAAAATGTCTCTCATAAATCTGAATTCTTTTCAGTCTTCATATCTTGTTTCTTTTTCTTTAACATTAAAACAGACGTTGTGATTTTTCTGGGACACAAAAGGAAAGTACAATGACTTAACGGACCAAGATTTTTTACTAAAGTTCACAGGTGGCAAGACAAGGGGCAGAGACATTGTATACACGAGAAAAGTCAGCCAAGTTAAATATATACGTTGTGAATATTGCTTGAGCAAACCTGTACCATATACCTGGTATATGTAGCGTCACATATGTACATATATGCATGCAGTAACTTAGTAAAACACTGTACAAAATACAATGCCCCATCTTGGACCTCAGTGTAACACTGAGCAATGTGCAAAGTAATTAGTTCCTGTCCTAAAACACTTAGGGTCAGTAGGTTCTGTATCTGTATAGCGGGTATAACAGCCTTTCGGCGTAACACACCAGCTAAAGTTGTGATTTTCTTTTTGTTCCAAGTTTTTATTTCTGATTTTGGCTAAGGCCACACCAATTTAATTTGTTGGTTCTCGGATTTTTTCAGGAAAAATATGAAGCGACAGGGCGAAAAAAAATAAAAATAAAAACAGATCTGGGCATCCTATTATAGCCCCAAATGCTACGATAGGAGGTATGAAGTCAAAACAAAAGGCTGGTTCAAAATTTAAACAATTAATTTTGAACTTCTAATAATACCACTGCATTGAAAGATGGAATAACTGTAACGACTAGGAAGAAAAGGACTGTTTTCAACTGTTCAGGGCAAAATATGAGCATTTTGCAGTTGATTCTGAAATTTTTTTTTTTTTTGCAAATCAGAAAAAAATAAAGAGGCGAATCCGAGAACCAACAAATTAAATTGGTGTGGCCTAATAATAGAAAATACAATTTTTAAATTGTTAAAACAATGCATAAGGACTTTCTCCTGGACCCATCCCTCCATTTGATTGAGCGAAAATATTTCGCCAAGTTTCCTGAAACAACAACAACAACTTGCTTTGAATTTCAGATGTCAAACGAAAATTTTATGGCCCTTCCTTAACAAAAGCATGGCTTTTTTTCTAGGGTTGGTCAGGACACTGGAAACACAACATTTTATTCCTAGGCTTTAGTCCCAGAAGCAGTGACAACTATCTCATATCAAAGAAAGGTGGATGTCAGAATAACATCATGAAGGCAAGGACATATGCAGAGACTCTAGATAGGTATAGAACTATGATGACTTGTTGTACATTTTCTTAACACTACAGTAGACTTACACTACTTGTACATTATCCCTGTAATGCTTTCTACCAGGAAAATCTAGGCTGGAAGCCACGTGAATGATTTTAATGAAACTGAAATCTTCGAATCTCCAAACTGGGAAGGTGGACCCTATTCCCACTCGGTGGTGCCGGGCGGTTTAGACGTCATGTCGTACATCACGCGGGAAATCCCCGGAACTTTCTCGATCTCTTCCGCCATCTTGCTCACCAGCTACAAACATGTATGAACCAAAGGGTAAGTAGTACAACAATACACGGGCGACAATACTGTAAATCACTTTATATTCGCGGAAGAAAAAAATTGCTGTCTGAGAAAAATGGACATGTTTGCAGAACTATACGTTTGCAAAGCCCAATAAAAATGCCTAAAATATGTAAAAAGTATGCCGAAGCCTAAATCTCTACCTAATGCTGTTTATAGTGACCACCTCTTCACTCATCCAATGGCAATGGCCAAGTGGGTAAAGTGCTTGCCTTGCATTCGGTAGGTCTTGAGTTCGATCCCGGCCAAGTCATACCAAAGACTTTAAAAATGGTACATACTGCTTTGCTTAGCACTCAGCATTTATTTGGAAAAGAGTTTGGGAGTTAAACACACACCACTACCAGTGGACTAGCCCCCTGCTGTAGTGACTACTGTGTGTGGACCAGAGCTAATGAATGGAGATGGGCGCCACCCCATAGCGTCACTTGACGCGGGAAAGCTCGTTAACTTTTAACTAACATCTAATGGCACTTACCTCCACAGGTATGTGGTCGCCGGGTGTGGCGGGTATTCCCGTCATGAAGTCGTTAGTGATGAAGGTTCTGATGACGACAGAGCGTTGACACGACGCCTGGCGCAGGATCGCGTCACGGCCAAAATGCAGCGGCACCAGGATGATGGGCATCTGACTCAGGGTCGACGCATGACCTGCAATTTCAGTCATTGAAAGAACAGATTTACACAACAGCTAAATCCTGACGGTACAAAAACTGCATACCCACGCAAGCGTATAACAACTGTGTACATACAGGTACAATGTACCTTCAGATTGTGTGCAAGCTATGGAGGTAATGTATGATCTGAATGTACGTTCAGTGTAACACTCCAGCTTCTGTATTGTGTATAGCCAGTATAACCGCCTTTCGGTGTAACACACCAGCTTCTGTATCTGTATAGCCGTTATAGCTGCTCTTCAGTGTAACACACCAGCTTCTGTATCTGTATCACTTGAGCCAGTACAACCACTATTTGGTGTAACACACCAGCTTCTGTATCTGTATAGCCAGTATAACTGCCTTTCGGTGTAACACACCAGCTTCTGTATCTGTATAGCCGTTATAGCTGCCCTTCAGTGTAACACACACCAGCTTCTGTATCTGTATCACTTGAGCCAGTACAACCACCATTTGGAGTAACACACCAGCTTCTGTATCTGTTGAGCCAGTACAACCACCATTTTGAGTAACACACCAGCTTCTGTATCTGTATCTGTATCTGTTGAGCCAGTACAACCACCATTTGGAGTAACACACCAGCTTCTGTATCTGTTGAGCCAGTACAACCACCATTTGGAGTAACACACCAGCTTCACAGGCAGACAGTATGATGGCAGCTGGCTATTTTACACCAAACAACTTGTTACACTTAACCTTTTCACATCTAACTGTAGATGTTTAAAGCTAGTCCCAGTTCTACTTCATGGTGGCAAGTTCCACTCTACAATAGTTCTAGGGAAACATGAGTTTTGAACATCTCAAACCTTGGTTGATAAGTCTGGTACTTGAAGACATGATCATTTAATACTAGACACATAGTAGTTGGTACGTCCACCAAGTACTATAAATTCTAGCAAACAGTTCCCTGCTGACAAGAACACAACAACAAAGATGATAAGTAGCCACAATTTTGGAGCTCACCACTTTCTTGGAGCACTTTCTTGGCGAGGTAGTCGGCCTGACGTAGCGTACTGAGCACGCCGGTAGTCAGGAATGTCGGCGTCACGTCAGGTATGATGTCCTTAATGGGATCACCGAACAGGAACACAACCCTACAACACAGACATCATCAGCACTGGTCAGTCATACATTTATACAGCACGTCCAGCAGGCTACATGTATGTGAAACCTAGATCTTTGGTCAACGTTGCATCCAACTTTTGCCTGTTGCGATCAATGTCTTTTCCGACACAACATTTGAAAACCATAGACAGGATGTGTCGATGAATGTTAGACAGGTAATACGATACACCAAAAAGCAGTTACTCAAGCAACTGGATATATTATGATTAGTACCATAGACAGGATGTCATCCTTAGTTAAATGTGCAAAACTTGAATGAGACATTCTGCCGAAGTGCTATGCTTCATTCATTTTTGTGGAGGTGCAGTACTGCTGTCATTTATGCCCCCTTCACAGGAGAAGCAAAAAGAGCCATGCCATTTCAATGAAAATTTTGTATTTCCCTGGCTATTTGAAGTGCATTGAAGAAATTTATTTTCCGTCATTTTTATACAGGGTGGCCCATTAAGTGACTGCCCTTCTTTTCAATGGGGCCCTGTTTTACACAACAAAACACAACAGTCACATACAAACAGTAAACTTGGGATACAATAAATAAAGGCAATAATAATAAAGGAGAAACAGTAAGTAACCAATAACATTGATAAATAATGATAATAACAAAAAGTAAAAATTGTCCAGTCCAGTCATTGTCCAGTCCAAATTGCATGGAGGGGTCAGAGGTCAGGTCAATTTTTACATATCTCATTTTAAAAGTGGACAAGAACAGGCAGGTCTTTATATCGTGTGGGAACCTGTTCCACAAATTCAAACAACATGTGTACATTCTAAATATTCTTGCACTAATCTGCATATGCAGTTATTTAAAGGTTACCTGTTAACACAGCCACATATCCTGGGGATGATCTTGGCCAGTTTGAAGAGGGTCGGCCAGTGGGGAGGTTCACTGGAGGAGATGGCAGCCACGTAACTGTAGGTTCTGGCATCACCCTGCAAATGGTACATAACATGCTTCTCTCTCTCTCTCTCTCTCTCTCTCTCTCTCTCTCTCTCTCCCATAGCTTAGTCAGCCTTCGGGGCAGCATGATGTTTGGCCAAGTTCTTCCACTGCTGGCGGTCCTCCGCCAGTCTGGCCATCTGGTTGGCTGTTAGACCAGTCCACTCTTTTAAGTCTGTAACCCATGACCGATGGGTTACAGTGCGCCTTCCACCTTACCCTGGAGAACTGTATGTGACAGTGTGCCTTTGGCCCTAGACACATGTCCGAACCACTGTAACTTTTTCTTCTTAATATAACTGTGGCCAGGAAGGTTAGGACTAGGAAATGCTTAGGACTAGGAAAAAAATATTGTGTTTGCTGTTCCGGTCCTGAAAAATTTTTTTTCTTTCTTTGAAAATTCTTTCTTTATTAGACTTTGGTGATCTCTAGTGATCCACAATACAATACAGTTTGGTAAAGAAAGTACAATTTGCAAGAGGACACTTTTATTTTTAATTTCAGTTGAAAACCGATGTACAATGTTTCATCACTTAGGTGTCAGATAATGGAGCTAGAAAAGGCTTGAAAAAATTGTCCCTTGCGGGGTCCACCCAAAAAAAAGGCTATAGGGTCTGCAGTTTTTTCTAGGGTCTGTCGGGAAACAGGAAACGTTATTTTAAATGCAACATTTTTTCCTTTTAGTCTTAGCAGTTTGTAGTAAGAGTTTTGCTGGTTTACCTGGACTCCAACAGATTTGATAGGCAGCAGAGTAGACATCATGGGGTGTTGTCTGGTCATGGAGGCCAGCATGTTTCTCTCCTCTTCTGTAGTACTGTTCTTGATTCGCTGAAGCAGGGCATGGGGCTGGAATGGGAAACAAAAATATGTTTACTTTTTTTTAACATTCAAAGATAAAGTTGTATACTATATGTGTCTGAACATTGAAATGGGAAGAAAAAGTTAAATCTACTCTCATCTGCCGAATAAACATACCCCCCGGAATAAACGTACCCCCGGACAAATCTTCAAAATCAAATAAACATACCCCCGGAATAAACGTACCTCCCGGAAAATTACCAAAATTGACGGGTAACCTGTGTCTCTTGTACTAAAATGCACCCTTACTGATATATGCACAAATCTTTAACTGTTATTTGCAATTAGGAATTTAAATAGACAAAAAAAAGAGCATTTAATATTTTGTATTTTGATAAGCACCACCCATGACAATAGAACATTCAGACGAATTTATGCACGCGGTGATTGCAAAAACCGGCCCGAAAATGACAAGTTTCTCGCTACAATAGGCGTTTATAAACGTCTTCACGTTGATGATTTGTCAATTTTTTTCACACGAAGTTGAAAAAAATTACTGGTTTTCAAAAAATCAATAAACGTACTGTGCAAATTAAGAACGTACTGGGTGGATGTTTGGGCCCCAAAAAATAAACGTACCCGTATGTTTATTTGGCAGATGAGAGTAGTGAAATAAAGGTATGAAAAAAAGCAGTTGAAGGTACCTAAAGCAATTTTGGGATGAAAAAAAATGGATTTTCAAAGTCAATTTCCTGGTGATGTTGAGGATGGAAAACAGTTGCTTCTTTCATATCGTAGGCTGGGTCTAACTACATGTATTTATTGGTGGCACCAAAAAATAAAGGGACTCCTCATGTACAATGTAGCTTGTTTCTGGGCTACTTCAAACACTTGAACTATGAAATGATGATTGGCAAAACTGAAGAAATGTCAGGAAAAGTCAGACAAATAACAGACAAATAGCAAACTTGCTGCCCTGAAATTGCATTGGATGTCTTTAACTAAGACTTGCAGGAGGACTTCTCCGTTTATTCCAGTTAAGGCCACACCAACTCAATTTGTTGTTTCTTGGATTTTTTCAGAAAAATATTAAGCGACAGGGCGAAATAAAACAAAAAAACAGACCAAGGCACCCCATGATAGCTGGAAATGTTACAATATGAGCCATGAAGTGAACATACATGTACCAGGCCGGTAAATTTTGAATTTGTAATGAAACAAAATTGCATTGTTACATTGAAAAACTAGGAACTACTAGGAAGAAAAACTAGGAGGAAAAACTAGGAAGAAAAAGGACTTTCTTCAACTGTTGGCACAAAATATGTCTTTCATTGATCATTTTTCAAGTTTTTTTTTGCAAATCAGAAATAAATGATGGGGCGAATCTGAGAAACAACAAATTAAATTGGTGTGGCCTAACCTGAAGAAGAACAATGGCTGTCACTAAAAACTTTCAGAAGCAGAATTTTTGTGTTTATCCAGTTTAACTTATAGTACAATTTCAACTGTTATCCAACTTGAATGAACAGGGTTAAAACTGTATGTAGGGAAAATAGATACATACATAGTTAACTACCTTTTCTAGCGTGTCGGCAAACTTGACGATGAGTCTGAGGATGGTGTGAGTCTCGTTGTAGTCATCACAGTGGTACGGTTCATCTGCACAGATCACACGGATAGCAAGGCCTGGGCCTGGAACGGGGGGAATTAGAGATGTTACTCAAACTTCAGAGCTCGAAATTCATTTTTGGGAATAGGTGCACTAGTGCACCCAACCTAGAAAATTAGGTACACAAAAAATTTTTTGGGTGCACTATATAAAATAAAATAACTACATGTAGAATGTCAGCAATAACTAATTATGTTTCATTTGTAACGAAAAGTACAACAATTATTTTATTATTTTTTTGACACTTGGGTATGCTGTATACTACACTATACATTCAACATCTTTACATACATAAAACTATGAAAATATTTGGGTGCACTAGTGCACCCATGGAAAACAAAAATTGGGTGCACAGCTCCAAATTTGGGTGCACTAAGGAGCACATGCACCCAGTATTTCAAGCCCTGAACTGCACTGAAATCCTGGATTATAAAAATCAGCCTGAAATTTTTTCTGTAACAGTAATCTTTCTGGAAAGACAGATGCTGGCTAGAACACTGAATTACATTGTAAATGAAGTAAGTTTTTCCAAAGCATAACAAGAGTCTTTAGGACAGTCGTCTTTGCAATAATTATGATGTCTGCATGTCTGTGTAATATATATACAAACAAACAGCATAATTGCTCCCCATCTCCAGCAGTTAAATCGTTTCTTGTTTTTTTAGCCTTCTTTGTGTTTCTAAAACTTTTTCTGATGACTGACACTCTCTTAGTGCTATCATTCCACTATCGGAGATTACATGTACATGGTGAGTACACGTTGGAAGCCTGACCTGGGAAGGGATGTCTCTGCACCAGGTCAGGAGGCAGACCCAGGTCCCGCCCGATCGCCCGCACTTCATCCTTGTGGAAGTCCTTCAACGGCTCGACTACACGACCCTGAGGGGAGACAGACAGTTTGTGATTGATGGAAGTCTTGTTGTGTAAGGCCAATTTAAGGATGACATCCGTGCAAATCACCTCCTCTGAGGCTCTGTCTTGGGTGCCATCCTCCGTAGACCATTTTATCTAGTGACAATAGGGAGCCGGCAGCAACTACAAAAGAGTAGTGATGCATACCTAAACTTAATTTTAGGTTCAGGTCCGGATTCAAGTCCAGAGGTTTAGGTTCAGTTCCGGACTTAAACCCATGGCATATACAAAATTGCATGTTGACAAACTTGCAATCTTGTCTGGGTGAATCTTTGGCCACATAACATGGAGGCCGGTATACCGGTACTTGACGATGCCCGATGGCAATGTTTTCTTCATTTGCAGCAAAGATTTAAAAATCTACGGAAGGTTTTAGGTGGTTTGGAAAGAAAAAGGGTATGTGAAATGGTTTTTTACCGTAATAAGTCCGAACTCGGTTCTTGACTTTTAGGTTTTTTTTGGACTTGAACCTAAACATTCTTACAAGTCCGGATCCAAGTCCAGTGAACCGGTATGCATCACTAGATGGAAGTCTTGTTGTGTAAGGCCAATTTAAGGATGACATCCGTTCAAATCACCTCCTCTGAGGCTCTGTGTTGGGTGCCATCCTCCGTAGTCCATTTTATCTAGTGACAATAGGGAGCCGGCGGCAACTACGAAAGAGGGCACCCAGGTGGCTGACTAAGCTCCACGGAACTCAAGAACTCAAATACAGTGCCGACTCATGAACGCAGCAAAAGGCCAGAGAAGCCATGTGACAAGTCTCACTGGGTCAGTCTATTAAAGAAGACCAGAGTGACTGGTCAAAAGTGCTACATGTAGGTGAGAACAATCTTTTGTGTTGGAAGAAAAGTTTTAGCTTTAAACATGTAACTACCAGCACAGATGAACTTTTATGATAGTATAGAACAGAGCTATTTAATGATAAAAATGCATTTTGATTTTGCAGCTGAGACAGGGGCTAACAATTTTGTTTTGAGTTTTCAAACATTGTTTTTAATTTCCATTGATGATAATACTCTTAGTAATGCCATGAAGAAATATTACCTACTTGATCAACAGATTTATAATATTTCTAAGACTGATAAATGCAGATAAATGATGTAGTTGAAAAAAATGAAAAGAGACAGAAGAGCAGTATGGAGATGGATATACAATGGGGGTGGATACATGTAGATGAGTGTTTGGTTTGCCTACCTTTTCCCTAAGTTCCCGTACCAAGTTGGTATCATTGTGATGTGTTTTGATGGCGTCTGCGTTCTTACTAGCTAAGGTGGAGGCACTCTCAATCAGGTCAGGCCTCAGGGTACCTACAGTGTAACAACATCAGTCAAGCTTTCACATATACCTCAGAGAAAAACAATGAAACCTTTAGAAATGAACCTAGATACTAGAGAGTTAACATTTACAAAGCAAATGCACAATGTTTCCCTTCAGATGGTCCATCTCAACAAACTTCTGCTCTGTTTATTCTTACTAATGACAAACTCATTCAAATATATGGTGACCAGCCCCTACAACTCTGTCCTGCAACCTGCTACATAATGCAAACCAAAACCACGGGTTGTCTGCCACAGCACCAGTTACCATGGTGACAGATATCTGGTCCTGGTCATTGACGTTATGTGTTTGGAGAAGAAGAAGAAACAGAGCAAAACACAGTGTCAAAGGAATGCCAGGGATTTGAACCAGGGACCTTTTGATCTCATGTCTGCTAGCCACGCCACGCAACCATTTGATGCCACTTATAAGGGCTACTTTTACCTTATCTACATGTAATATAAAGGGTTGGTATATCAAACCATGACCCCATGATCAAACCCACCTTGTGCAAGGAATACCTCTTCTGGGTTCAAGTTCATCTCAGAGATGACTTCATCTGCTACCTGCATACAAAGACCCAAAAAATAATTGAACAGTGTTGTCATAAGCCTTATAATAATTAAGTCTGTTCGTTAGACCTTATACATACTCATTTCTGGTGGACTTACATGTACCAACCACTTAGTATATAAAACCAGCCAAGAAAAGAACAAGAAACAGTCATGCTTTTAAATATTCTGTATCAACCAAGACTTGGGGGTTCAAAAACTCATATTTTCCAAGAACTGTCATAGAGTGGAACTTGTTGGCACCATGCACAGTTGAGGGATCATCACTAGAAAGCTTTAAACAACTCCTGCAATAAGACCTGCAAAGATTGGGTGTAACAGGTCGTTTGGTGAAATATAGCTAGCTGCCACCACTCAGTGTGTCTTTGAAGCTGGTGTGTAACACTGAAGGGTGGTTATACCGGCTATACAGATACAGAAGCTGGTGTGTAACACTGAAGGGTGGTTATACCAGCACATTGGCAGAATGTAGTGCACCTGCGCAGAACCCGGGATTTTCGCGGTTTTCGTTGGATTTTTGGTCAACGTTGCATTAGAATTGTCCCTGTTGCAGACGATATCTTTTTGGACATAACATTTGAAAACTATTGTCGGAATGCTAACCTTATATGAGCAAATACAACCTTATATTATGAGATGTTCTGCCAAAGTGCTATGCACAACACATTACGGGTTTTGCGCAAGTGCAGTACATTCTGCCGACGTGCTGGTTATACCAGCTATACGGATACAGATACAGAGTGGACTCACCTTCATGAATGTGTCCCCGATTATTCTCCTCTTGTCCTCAGGATTTGTTGTTCTGTTGAGCTGTTCTGTCTCCCGCTTCTTCCCTTTAGGATCAGCCTTGTTGATTGGGACGTAGGTTTTACCATTGTAGAACTGGTGCGCTGCATTTACCACTAGAGGGGGGTAGACATTAAAAGACATTAACCCTTCTGAAGGTGAACAAAAAAGGTGCATTCAAGCCATTGCAAGCCTAGATCAATCTAGTCTTGGAGAAGTTGTGTCTTTCTAGTTTCAGCTTCACGTAATAAACTTAGGCCAAGTACAGTAAGTAATTTCTTTGGATGACATTAGCGTGCACATTAATTGTCGCCTAATTTTGGAAAAAAAATTTTGTTGCCCTCTGACAGTGGTCAACATGCCGAAAATGAGCAAAGATATCTGTTGCCATGCCAGGAGGTGGATGGCAGATAACTATGAAGACAGGAGACAAGAAAAGACTCTGATTCAAAGTTTTGTTTTGTACTTCGATGCAGTGATATGTGATGCTGGCTGTGTATATGTGATGTTCCCACTGAATCAAAACAATTTGTACAATGATTGAGTCAAAAATTGAAAATGTAGGAACCTTGTTTTTTTCTGCGCAACTTGTTTTTTTCGCCCACTTGCATTAGATTTGGAGTCTGCGGAGGATGTCTTCCATAAAATTTACTTGCTGTGGCCTAATAAACTTATCCAGAAATCCTTACGTTGCTTTGGGTGTGTTTAAAAGCATAAGAAAAGCTTTCAGTATACAAACAACACTCAAGCATAGCTACATTGTGAATATGTATCTGCAAAAATATTGGAATTCCCAAATTTATCATGATATCCCTAGTTTTCTGGAATATTTGGCTTGTTAAAGAAATGAAAGAATGTTTTCTTACTTTTGAGGTCCAGTCCCAGTCTGGTCAGCGAGTCGTAGACCATCTGACTCTCGTTCTTCCTCATGAAACCGTTATCTATGTGGACTGCAATCACCTGGTCTTTATCCAGGGCCTGGTTTACATGTACATACAAAACAACAAAGATGAATAAACTAATAAATAAACCATATTGCACAACATCTGTATAAGGTACAGGGCTCGAAATACTGGGTGCATGTGCACCTTGGTGCACCCAAAATTGGAGCTCTGCACCAAATTTTTTTGCACCCAAATATTTTCAAAGGTTTACATATGCTAAGATATTAAATGTATATTAAATATGGAACCTTGTAACAATTAAATGTCACTGGTATGATGTACATATAGTATACACCATATTGTTGACATCTACATGTAAGTGTGAGAAAATTTTTGTTGTAGTAGTCAGATTACTTTATTGCAATCTACACAGTCAACTGTATCTTTCTTGTAGTACTTGATTATTTTATTGTTGAACCGGTGCACCTACATGTATTCTTTAACATGAATTACAAACCCTGATAAATAAACTAAGAACCTTATTGAACAACATTTGTAAAAGATACAACGTGTGGCATCTACCATCAACAACCATTCTGTATTTTAAGTGTGGTACTGTACACCTCTCAGACAAAAAGCATAGGGGGCCACCACATTCAAACAGCTTAGTGAGAACTATGGACATGGTACTTATTGTTAGGTGTACTCCTTACATACCTTATGTAACAGGGCGGCACACACTGCAGAGTCCACCCCCCCACTGACCAGTACCAGCACCTTGTGTTTCCCCACCACCTCCTGGATCTCCTGGATACAGCTGGTCTCACGACACGTCATGGTGTAGGTGCCATGGCAGCCACAGGCCTGCGGAGGGGATAGACCAGTAATGTGATTGGTAGGTAAATGACAGATGACTGACAGGTGATTGACAGGTGGGTGAAAGATTGACAGGTGATTGGCAGATTGACAGGTGATTGGCAGATCGAGAGGTGATTGGTAGATTGACAGTTGATTGACAGATGACTGACAGGATAATGATAGGTGATTGACAGGTCATTAACAAGTGACTGACAGGTGATTGGCAAATCGACAGGTGATTGGCAGATCGACAGGTGATCGACAGGTGGTTGACAGATTGACAGGTGATTTGACAGGTGATTCGTTGATGATTGGCAGATTGACAGGTGCTGGTGATTGACAGATGGACAGGTGATTGACGGATTGTGATCAAAAGTTGTTGATCAAAAATATTCTAGGTAGGTTCAGAAATATTGGTCTGAAAAACCAACTTACGTGGAACAGGAAGTTCTTCAGCATTTGTTTGCCATTTTCTGTGAGGTCCACCTCTGGATGAAACTGTACTCCATATAGTCTCCTTTTCTCATCAGCAATAGCTACAAAATGTATGACAGTAAAGCAAATTTTCAAGAAAAGGACATTTTGTAATATTTGCAAAGCAATGTATACCCTCACATGGTATAGCCCAACAAACTACTGCTCTTTTTATTCTAAATCAAACACATTCATATCATATATATGGTGACCAGCCCCTCCATCCTATAATGTAAGCCAACACCACAGGGTGTCTGCTACAGCACCAGTTACCATAGTTACAAACATCTGGTCCAGTTCAGGTCATTGATCTTCATATCTTCATGTGTTTGAAGGAGGAGAAGAAACATAGCAAAAACAACATGGTAGTACCGAATTCAAGTCAAAAGTTACAAAAGTATAAGTACTGGTTAAGACTAGTTGATATCATCAAATACAAATGCAAGACAGCACACTGACCTGCAACAATATTCCCAGACTTTGCGATGACCTTGAAGCCATCTGCGACCTTGTCAATGCTGTCCCCGTGGGTCAGGAGAACTTTCTGTTCCTTCTTTAATCCCCTAAAAAAACAAAACATTCAAATCGTGACCAAAAATATGTATGTTGTTTATGGGCGAGTTATGCCTGAAATAAAGAAATAAAGAATTAAAGTCGTGCAAAACGGGCATTTCTTGATTAAAGGCCAGCTGCTATAGCCATGCACTCCTTGTTTCAATCTAGTTCTTTTCTCAAGTAAACTACATGTACATGTAGATTTTTGGGTAATCGTGTGTGAATATGCAATACAGATACTAGTAGCCATACATGATTGCAGCTGATTAGTGTATATGGTTTTTATGAGTTTTAACCATGTGTTACACAGTTTTCAATAACTATTGTGATTAAAATGCCACTAACTTAACTTTAAATAACTTGTTAAAACGGTGTATCAACAGTGTCTGAAGTAATGCTGTGTACCGGTTCGCTGGACCGGTTCCGAACTTGTAAAAATGTATAGGGTTCAAGTCCAAAATAACTAAAAATCAAGAACAGATTCCGAACTTATTATGTCACATACCCCTTTTCTTTCCAAAACACCTAAAACTTTCCATAGATTGCAAAATCGGTGCTGCAAAATGAAGAAAACATTGCCATTGGGCATTGTCAAGTGTAGGCCTCCATGTTATATGGCCAAAGTTTAGCCCAAACAACATTGCAAGGTTGCCAACATGCAATTTTGTATATGCCATGGGTTTAGGTCCGGACTCATGAGTCCGGAACTGAACCTAAACACCCCCATGAAACTCCTTCCTCTTCGCCCCCGCCGTTCTGCTTCGCCCCCGCCCGTTCTGCTTCGCCCCCGCAAAAAATCTGCTTCGCCCCCGTCGTTCCTCTACGCCCCCGGCGCAATTCTGCTTTGCCCCCGTCCTTATGCTTAGCCCCCAATGGCGGCACAGCTCACAGTCGACACGAAAATCGTCTGCAAAATAAAAATAAAGGCTGTGCCGCCAAATTTAAAGTAGCCCATGCTCCGGCAAACATTCTGGACCACCTTTCTGCCAAGTGGCGTTGCACAAATCCTTCCCATTCAAAAGTTTACCCCTACCTCACGGCCCGTCAGTGGTTCTTACGTTTATTAAGTACTGGCG